TGGAGATCTACCTTCCTGTACAGTTTAGCTCCTACCCTGATCAAACCCACCTGAACCAATTAATTAGGACCTGGAATCCACTTGATAATTACAGACAGGTGTGTTTGATAAGGGTTGCAACTGAAATCTGCAGGAAGGTAGATCTCCACGAACATGATTGGCCCACCCTGTACTAGACTCTCATACTGTTTTCCGACATAATATATAGTAGGAAAGCATGCGGCGCAGCTATAGTTCTTCAGTTTTTGTATTAAATGCGTGTTCATATTCATCTGTAGTAAATTCCATCAGATGACTGACATTACAAACAATGCTGTGTAATTTTTTTTTTTTTTTTTTTTTCAGCGACTTTCTCATGTGCAAGAGGTAGCCAGCAGTGAAAACTATGGTGGGAACTCCAACCTGATTTCACCAAGTTGGACATGTTACTGGATTAACATCCATGTTGATCCTGGAACAACATTCTAATCAGCCATTCAGAATTAAGGGATATTTTTATGTTAAGTTTAGACTTACAGTTAGGTTTATGCATTCTACATGACTGTTATCCAACTATAGGGTATATGCCGAACTAGTGCTGTTCCCATGCTGATACACTTCCGGTGACCTGTTATTGTGAACTTTTTTCCATTTTATACGGTTCATTATACAGTATCGATGTTGTAATGTCATTAAAATACATTCAGTTAAATAAACTTTAGCATTTATTTGGTTGCTCAAGTGTAAAACGAGACAAAAAGCTGTTTACTCGCACGCGCCCGTCAGAATCGGCAGGCTCACGCAGAAGCTCCATTGAATATACTGGGGTAAAATAAATGCTCATATTATAAAGATTTGCCGGGGGAAATGTAATTTAATGCAGTGATTCTTGTACAATCTGAGACCCACTTTAAATCGAATATCACTCAGCCAGTGGAGATCGCTGATTTTTAAAGAAAACAGACCTTAAACGCACCGGATTTTGCATTGGCATTAAATTCGCCAGAAGCGCTTAACTCGGGTTACTGGCAAATTAAAAGTCCTATTAGCATGCTTCGGCATATACCCCATTATTCCCCTCTGATAATGGGAAAAATTAACACAGTTATCGTTGGGTTTAGGGGTAGGGAATAGGTATGAATTACATTTTCGAACGAAAATGATGTTCCAAGATAAACATAGATGTGAATCCAGGATCATGGCGTACTTGGCATCTTGTCCATTTGAACAGGGTTCTTTCTTGGAGCCCTCTTCTAATGAGCTGGTTATCTAAATCATGGCTGTTAAAGAAGGCAGGTTTGAGAACCGCTATGTTAGCGACACATTCAGTTGCACATACTTTAATAGTGAACTCCATTTTATGGCATGTGCAAACAAATTTTATCATTATACCAGTTTAACATACCCACAAATGTTTAAAGAAATTTACACCACTTATTTTGGCTACAAGATCAACATTGGACCAGGCTGTTATTGACAACTGGACACAAAAAAAAGAACAAACAAACACTCAGTTAAGGCTGATTTATACTTATTAAATTATTATTATTTATACTTATTATATTATTCTGATATTATACTACCTTCGCATACCCGCGCACCTAAAAAAAAACAAAAACATTTAACTCCACGTCACACCGACGCATAGCTTTGTGATTGGTCGGTTTGGTAGCAGTGATGACAGTGTGCGGTGCGGAGAGCAGTGTCTGTTTTAATTTTAGTTCAACACTGATGTTCAATAAAAAGAAACAGTAGATAGTGCGCGTTTACTTCAATTACTTTAAAATCAAGTGATGCACCCTTCATTTTACTGTGCAAAACTTATCAGTGAACTATGAGAGCAAAACAAATTAAATAAATAAAATAATCGTTTAATAATAAATAAATTAATCGTAATCAAGTTAAAATGTTCAACTAATCGATATTTTGATTTTAGGCCAAATCACCCAGACCAACAAGCTTGTGTCAATTACTGGCGTACAGTACAGTATGGGCATAATGTGATGATGATGTGAACATTTGGTTCTGTATACAGAACCATAGAAAACAAACAAAAAAAGTTTATACAAGTATATAAGTTTAATATAGTATAAGTTTATATAACCAAAAACATGATTTTATGAAGAATGTATTATTAGATCAATTCAGTTTTTAATAATATGTTGTTTTTCTGTAAAAACTGACTACAAAAATTCATCATATGTTATTAAGTTCATAAAATAAGTTCATTTAAAGTGTGAAAACGGAAAAAGGGTATGAACAACTGAGAAGAGTGACATGGTGGCTCAGTGGTTAGCACTATTGAATCGCAGGTCACTAGTTTCAGTTCCAGCTAGGCCAGTCGGCGTTCCTGTGTTGAGTTTGCATGTTCTCCCCGTGTTCGTATGGGTTTCCTCTGGGTGCTCCAGTTTCCCCCAGTCCAAAGACATGCGCTATAGGGGAATTAAATAAACTGAATTGGCCGTAGTGTATGATTGTGCACAAGTGTGTGAATGTGTGTACGGGTGATTCCCAGTACTGGGCTGCAGCTGGAAGGGAATCCGTTGTGTAAAACACATGCTGATAAGTTGGTAATTCATTCCGCTGTGGTGAATAAAGGGACTAAGCCGAAGAAAAATTTATGTAATGTATAATAATTTGAAATAATTGAATAAAATACCAGTCTAAAAAATAGGATTCATTTTATGTTTAATAATAAAGTGTTAATAAATTATCAGCACTTTTACAGATAAACTTTAGCGGACAGAAAAAGTAAAACCCATGAACAAATTTGCAGCAGCACAGTTAAACATTTATAACATTAAATAATAAACTAAACGACACAATACAGAGAGAGTTTTGTTGTAAATAATCATTTAACCAAACAACAACATGAACGCTTAATTTACTAAAGAAGACCAAAAGCAGAAGGGAAACTAGTCTGTTGCTGACTTGTTAGAGTAGTGTACAGGAAGTCATGGTAACTCATCTCTTCCTGTTGGAAGAGACGGCGAGTGGGTTCAGGGCTGACCTGCTTCCTTCCTCCAACGCCAACAAACAGATGCGGTTTTACACATCAGTGAATAAAAACAACAGGAGATAATTAGATTTTCACAGCTATGCCTGCTTAGACGAAAGGAAGACACTTTATATAGCGCCATCAAATTTGCTTTTGGTTCAATTGGGGCTGAATTTCAGTAGCCAACGTACCCAGCGGGTCAGTGGCCACTTGCTAATGGCATGACTGTGTGTGGAGGTTGGCTGGCCTGCATGTAAGCCAATGGCACACAGGGATCACCATGAAGCCAGGCTAAATATAACTGCCATTGTTCTGGCCTGACAGAGTGACTTTGCTTGGACACAGAAGAGATTTAGTAAAAAGTTAAAGTAAAATCTATTTATATAAGCTTTCAGAGTAAGGTTTTGGATTATTTTGGTCTTTTCAAAAATGCTATGCTTGAATATACTATAGTTATGGTTTGTCAGAAGAAGAGATTGAGAAGTGCTATAGGCTAAAGCAAAAATGTATTTCTCTGTAGGTTGATGTTTTTGGATTATTTCAGTCTTTTCAAAAGGCGCAGCTTGAATATCAAATCTGGGCTTGATATTCAAGCTGTTTTGCGGATAATTTGGTCAGATTTATGGACTAGGATTATATCATGACAAAACTATTGGCAGATGGAGAGATAAATATGACTTATGTTTTCCTGCTTACAGATAACACCACAAGAGGTATCGCTCCAAATATTACATCATTTTGTACTTTAGGCGAGTGATAAGTTGGTCATAAAAACTAACCCTGGTTTTAATACAGTAATATAAAATTGACCAATAATGTACGAGCAGGGATTTTGAGACCTTTATGTACTGTAGTAAAACTATGGTCTGAATCAGGAATATTTGGCGTTTATCTTGAGGAATGTGGAGCCAGATCAGTCACAAAAATAATAAATTTACAATATAATACATCCACAACACAAGTCACATTTACAAAATTCAGTTCGTATGTTTGAAACACGATTCGTAAATACACAAATCCAATTAATAAGTTCAATAAACAATTTAAAAATACACAAAACAAATTCTTAAGTTCAAAACACAATTGTTAAAATACACATATCCAATTCGAGTTCAAAACACAGATCAAAAATACACAAATCCAGTTTATAAATTCAAATTACAATTCAAAAATACACAAATACAAATTGTAAGCTCAAATCACGATTCACAAATCCAATTGGTAAGTTAAAAACACTATTCAAAAATACACAAATCCAATTCATAAATACAAAACTCAATTCAATAATACACAAATCGAATTAGTAAGTTCAAAACATGATTTACAAACCACAAATCCAATTAATTTGGTGAAAATATTTAAGATTTTTACTTGTGAATTCACAAATTCTGTATGTGTTAATTGTTTTGAATTTACAAATTTGATTTTGTAAATGTGAATTGTGCAGTGCATGAACAAATTTGTTTTTGTAAACGTATTATTTTTAGTCTAATCAGGCCCCATAGAGGAAAGGCTTATAATCGTTAAAATAACTTGAACTTTGAGCAACTATTTCTCTCAACGTCCCATTGAAACGCGTTAAACTATAATGAGGAACAACAGAGCACTGTCGAATTTTGGAATGTTGGCCTTTAAAATTTAGAACTCAAATTCGTCTTGGAACAGACACAGAGAATGTTTAAATTCTGTTTTCACCCACGTCTACGAACCAAGCATTATTTATTATAGACAACACAAAGAACATGGTTGATGGTCAAATTTTTGTCCTTATGTTTTATTCTGTGTTCCATGGAATCAAATCAGCTGAACAGGTTTGGAACAGTTGAACTTTCGCCCCATTTAACGTTAAAGGGAATGACACCAATTATATGTATATTTTTACAGCAAAGACAATAAACAAAGACAATAAAACAAGCTAGGGTATAATTCGAATCTTCTTTTTTACAGACAAGGACGTCAAATGACGATGTGTAAAACTTTAGTCAGCTGACAACAAAGAAAACATCCAGTCAGCCGTCACTCACCTTAAAATAGCCCCCCTCATAGTGCGTGTTTGGGGGTCCGAAAATCGCGACTTCCCAGTTGTACAAGTCCGACTCGTCGACTAAAGTTATTTTAAAGCCTTCAACCGGCTCGTCCTGGAGACTTTTCAGCTCCAACATCAAAGCCTTTTGAGAACTCGCGACATGATGGTGTCCATGCTGAGCCATATTACGAAAACAAACGACCAGGCATCCAAAATAACCCCGAAAACAACTTTCCTTCGCTTGTTTTTTTTATTTTATTTTACAACCGCCGCCGTTCGTTGAGTCGCGAACAAACCCAACTAAAGCCACTCGATGGCAAAACTGTGCTCAACGACTGGCAGACCGCGCGGATTTGCGGTTCGCGTCGGGCATTTGAAGTCTCTCGCTAAGCACCTGCCGTCGATATTCAGCGTGCTGAATTAATCAGGCGTTCCGCTAGTAAATAAACAGGCAGTCCAGGGCCGCTTGTGGAGGATCTCTCCCTCCCCCAGAGCCTCTCTATAGGACAGAGAGCCAGCAGATGTAGAGCCCGTCCCTCATAATGCGCCTCCCGCGACCAATAGCGAGCATGTTGACCAGATTAACCCAACGAGCATAACTAGAAGGGAAATAGTTTAAATATGTGTCACCACTAGTCAAATACCAACAACGCCTTATGACAGCGGGGCAATTTAATACAAATGTGTTGTCATTTTGTTTTTGTAGGCTTGTAAAAATACCCAAACTGTCCGTCAATGTTATCAAACTATTTGATTTAAGTTCCTGAAGTCACACAAGTGCCAATTCTAGTGCCATCTTCAAATAACGGAGATTTTTACTCGTAAAATAAAATAAATAATGTTTGTTCTGTAGAGAGAAAACTTTTATAAAAGGGCATTCACTACGTAAAACAATTGCTAAAGAAATTGGTGGTTCATTCCGCTATGGCGACCCCTCATTAATAAAGGCACTTAGCCAAAAAGAAAAAGAATTAGAGAGACAACTTTTATGACAGTGATCCGCAATGAAAAACTATTTCCTGAGAAATTGTTGATTCATTCTGCCGTGGTGACCCCTGATTAATAAAGAGACTGAACCTGAATCAAAAAAAAGAAGTAAATAAGCCGAAAGAAAGCAAGTTTAACTAGATTATTAAAGTTCGTCGAGACAAACTTTAGGCTGGCTTGAGAAAGTCTGTTGGAAATAGTTTGTTTAGTTTAAACAGTTTTAAAAAGTATGAAAAGATGATAGATAGATAGATAGATAGATAGATAGATAGATAGATAGATAGATAGATAGATAGATAGATAGATAGATAGATAGATAGATAGATAGATAGATAGATAGATAGATTGAAAAAGTATAGATAGATAGATAGATAGATAGATAGATAGATAGATAGATAGATAGATAGATAGATAGATAGATAGATAGATAGATAGATAGATAGATTAAAACAGTTTGAAAATAGATAGATAGATAGATAGATAGATAGATAGATAGATAGATAGATAGATAGATTAAAACAGTTTGAAGATAGATAGATAGATAGATAGATAGATAGATAGATAGATAGATAGATAGATAGATAGATAGATAGATAGATAGATAGATAGATAGATTAAAACAGTTTGAAAATTGATAGATAGATAGATAGATAGATAGATAGATAGATAGATAGATAGATAGATAGATAGATAGATAGATAGATAGATAGATAGATAGATAGATAGATAGATAGATAGATAGATTACAGCAGTTGATAGATAGATAGATAGACAGACAGACAGACAGACAGACAGACAGACAGACAGACAGACAGATAGATTACAGCAGTTTATAGATAGATAGATAGATAGATAGATAGATAGATAGATAGATAGATAGATTGATAGATTAAAACAGTTTGAAAATAGATAGATAGATAGATAGATAGATAGATAGATAGATAGATAGATAGATAGATAGATAGATAGATAGATAGATTACAGCAGTTGATAGATAGATAGATAGACAGACAGACAGACAGACAGACAGACAGACAGACAGACAGACAGATAGATAGATAGATAGATAGATAGATAGATAGATAGATAGATAGATAGATAGATAGATAGATAGATAGATAGATAGATAGATAGATAGATAGATAGATAGATAGATAGATAGACGCAGTTTGAAAAAGGATAGATAGATAGTTTTGAGGTCACAAAGTTAGATCTATTGTTAGTAGATTAGTAAGATCTAATCTATGTAAAACCAAACCTGTGATATGCAGCCCAAGACCGGTTACTCACTGAAGCTAAGCAGGGCTGAGCCTGGTCAGTACCTGGATGGGAGACCACTAGGGAACACCAGGTTGCTGTTGGAAGTGGTGTTAGTGAGGCCAGCAGGGGGCGCTCAACCTGTGGTCTGCGTGAGTCCTAATGCCCCAGTAAAAGTGAAGGGGACACTAAAACTGTCAGTGGGCGCCGTCTTTCGGATGAGACGTTAAACCGAGGTCCTGACTCTCTGTGGTCATTAAAAATCCCATGGCACTTCTCGTGAAAGAGCAGGGGTGTAACCCCGGTGTCCTGGCCAAAGTCCCTCTATCGGCCCTTACGATCATGGCCTCCCAATCATCCCCTTTCACCGAATTGGCTCTATCACTGTCTCTCCACTCCACCAATAGCTGGTGTGTGGTGAGTGCACTGGCGCCGTTGTCCTGTGGCTGCCGTTGCATCATCCAAGTGGATGCTGCACACCGGTGGTGGTGTGGAGAGACCCCCCTCATGATTGTGAAGCGCTTTGGGTGTATGGCCATACACAATAAATGCGCTATACAAATACACATTACATTACATTACATTAAGTCAATTTTATTTTGCAATAAAAGTCTATGGGACTGTTGTTGCTAGGGTGCAGTATCTGGTAGTTAGGGTGTGGCTAGAAAGTTAAAAGCTCTTCAGTTATTGGCAGTTTGGTAGTCTAAGTTAAATGAGCTCAGCCATTAGTCTGGTGGACAGTCTGATGCAGAGTTATGAGCTCACAAAGTTTGATCCCATGTTAAGTCAATGAGAGTCTTTTGAATGGAAGTCTATGGGACAGTTTCTAAGGTCCAAAAGTGGTTGCTAGGGCGTGGCCAGAAAGTTAAAACCTCATCAGTTATTGGCAGTTAGGTAGTCTGAGTTAAATGAGCCCAGTTAGAAGCCTGTGTGACAGTCTGATGCAGAGTTATGAGGTCACAAAGTTTGGTCCAATGTTAAGTCTATGGGATTTTTCCGACGGTCCCGGGACGTTTTTCGGAAAATCGAAAGTCGGATCAGTCGGAAAAGATATGGCATACCGAGTCAGAATAGTTTGGAGGTCTGGTGTGAGTTTGGGGGTCATAGCTCGAAAGCTCTAGGAGGAGATAGATTTTGAATTTTAGTCTCAGAAGAAGAAGAAGAATAATATATAAAAAAAATAATAAGTTTAAATAGGATTTCAGTAGTCTGGCTTGTTTCTCAAGCCAGCCTAATTAACAGAATTTCAACAAAGTTTAGGTTCTCACATCAGTAACTTGTTTGTTTCCCTCATTTAAAAATTAAAACACGTCTGATTGAGATTTTTCTGATCCCTTACCTTAACTTAGTTGTTTTGGAAAATAAACAGATGTTTCAATATATGGTTCAATATAAAACATTGTGAATTTATTTATCCTAAAATAAACCACATTACATGTCTGTCTATCTATCTATCTATCTATCTATCTATCTATCTATCTATCTATCTATCTATCTATCTATCTATCTATCTATCTATCTATCTATCTATCTATCTATCTACACACACACACACACACACACACACACACACACACACACACACACACATATATATATATATATATATATATATATATATATATATATATATATATATATATATATATATATATATATATATATATATAATAGGCCAAATATATAAACCGAAACCAATATACATCATCCATCACAACTGCATTTGTCTCGTTGTCTCGCACATCAAGAACTGGATAATCCTATATAACTTCATATTAGTATTAAAGTAATAAGTTAAACATTCATTCATTTTCTTGTCGGCTTAGTCCCTTTATTAATCCAGGGTAGCCACAGCAGAATGAACCGCCAACTTATCCAGCACGTTTTTACGCAGCAGATGCCCTTCCAAACCACAACCCATCACTGGGAAACATCCACACACATTCATTTACACACACACACACACTCGTACACTACGGACAATTTAACCTACCCAATTCACCTGTACCGCATGTCTTTGGACTGTGGGGGAAACCGGAGCACCCGGAGGAAACCCACGCGAACTCAGGGAGAACATGCAAACTCCACAAAGAAACGCCAACTGAGCCGAGGCTCGAACCAGAAACCCAGCGACCTTCTTGCTGTGAGGTGACAGCACTACCTACTGCGCCACTGCCTCGTCCATAAGGTAAACAATAAATTAATTAGTTTTATGCAATATGGACGTTTAAAATCCACTATTAACACTATTCTTTTATCCTATCTTCTAAAATTGCTTTGGATTAAAGAGTAAATGTAAACCCAATAAACACGTTTAAACACTGATGAGATGCTAAATATTACTGCCCAATGATGAGAAGAAAGGATGTTATTTATAGACTTGTTCACACACATGATTATAAACAGGAAACATCTGTATATCTTCAAAGACAAACATGCAGTTAAAGACTTACCGGCCACTTTATGAGGTACACCTTACTAGTACCCAGCACTCCTGTTCCACCACATCCCAAAAGTTCTATATTGGATTGAGTTCTGGTGACTGTGGAGGCCATTTGAGTACAGTGAACTCAATGTCATGATCAAGGAACCAGTCTGAGATGATTCATGTTTTATGATGTGGCGTGTTATCCTGCTGGAAGTAGCCATCAGAAAATAAGTACACTGTTGTCAAGAAGGGATGGACATGGTCAGCAACAATATTCAGGTAGGCTGTGGCATTGACACGATGAACAATTGGTACTAATGGGCTCAAAGTGTGGTAAGAAAATATCCCCCACACCATTACACCACCAGCCTGAACCGTTGATACAAGGCATGATGGATCTATGCTTTCATGTTGTTGATGCTAATTTCTGACCCTACCATCCAAATGTTGCAGCAGAAATCGAGACTCATCAGACCAGGCAACATTTTTCCAATCTTCTTATGACCAGTTTTGGTGAGCCTGTGCGAATTGTAGCCTCAGTTTCCTTTTCTTAGCTGACAGGAGTGGCACCTGGTGTGGTCTTTTGCTGCTCCAGCCCATCTGCCTCAAGGTTGGAAGTGTTGTGTGTTCAGAGATGCTCTTCTGCATACCTCGGTTGTAACTAATGGTTATCTGAGTTGCCTTTTTATCAGCTCGAACCACACAGGCCATTCTCCTCTGACATCAAGAAGACATTTTTTGGACCATTCTCTGTAAACCCTAGAGATGATTGTGCATGAAAATCTCAGTAGATCAGCAGTTTCTGAAATACTCAGACCAGCCCGTCTGGCACCAACAACCATGCCACGTTCAAAGTCACCTAAAATCGCCTTTCTTCCCCATTCTGATGCTCCGTTTGCTTGTCTTGACCATGTCTACATGCCTACACGCATTGAGTTGCTGCCATGTGATAAGCTGATTAGAAATTTGCGTTAACAAACAGTTGGACAGGTGTACCTAATAAAGTGGCCGGTGAGTGTAAATGTATACACTTATGACTTCACTGGGACACACAAAACTAAAGCATATTCGTTATCCAGACGGGCCTCTCAAGAACACTTCTCGCACATTATTGGTCATTCTTTGAGCTCATTTATTCATCTTAAAACATTATATTACATCATACAGTCGGAAAATACATATGAAGGAGTTGGACAGTACCTTCAAACGAAGAGCAATGAGAGTATATTTAATGATAAAGCCAAATCCAGCAATATCTGCACTATAACTTTGCCAGAGGGAAAACCTTATTAGATTAGCTGGGCCACTTCACTTAAATCACATTTAACAGCTATGTATTCATGTCTATGCGGACCCCCTAAATCCCCCCAAACCCCCTATATTTATATAAGTATTTATTTTCATATATTTATATAATAATAATTTAATGCAAAATGCAACTTTTTAAAAACATTCCAGGACATTTTTTGAAGTCTATGTACTCGCAACAAATAAAAATACATCAAAAGGTGTAATATGGTGAAGCCAACTTGTACGTAAAAAAAACGAATCTAGAAAATAATCGTGACAATCAAGGAATGATGAAGGAATTTTTCAATGCAAGTGTTCGTCTATTAGTCAAAATAACAGAAAAAAGTAGGCAAAAGTTTACATTCCTACCCATGCATGTTATACATTTCAATGTGACTTGTAGCACAAAAATCGAGACTTGAGTAATTACAGTCGCTTTTCATCATCCAGGACCTGTAAACCACTATAGATGTTGTTATTCCACGTTCTTTTAACCTGCTATTCAAGTCACTTCATGTTGATGAACTCACTCTTTCGATGTCAAACACTTGCAAGCTACCCTCAGGATAACGTTAGGTTTCGTGAGCTGATAAACCACTATTTTTTTTTGGTTGTGGCCTTACAACCGAGCGCTACAGCGTGCTGGATCAGACAGTTAAACACAGGAATTAATTACAGCATGTGCCTGAATTAGTCAGTACAAGTTCATTAATGTGGAAACAAGGCATTTGACAGTATATTAAAATAAAAACAAACAAACAGAGAAAAGAGATTCATTGAAATCTGCAAATGTACAAGACGGCAGTTTTAACAGCTGAAGAAGCATGATGATGAGGTCGAAGAGGCGTTTGATAGACGTGATATAGACAGAAAGTGCACATTTCTGTTTTAGGCTCCCTTTAACAGCATTATATTAAGATAAGACACACAAGGGATCTTTTTAATGTAATACTTTCCAGAAACAGGAGATACTGACAGTGTGCTAAATCAATGTTTTGTTACAGAATATGTTTAGCGATACCTGAAAATAATAACTTCAAATGTACTTCAGTTCATACATCCAATGTTTCTAAATATGTAGACAATGTGTATGCGTGTGTGTGTATGTATGTGTATATATATATATATATATATATATATATATACACACACACACACACACACACACACACACACACACACATACACATACACATATATATATATATACACATACATATATACATACATACATACATATATATATATATATATATATATATATATATATACACACACATACATATATATATATATATATATGTGTGTGTGTGTGTGTGTGTGTGTGTATGTATGTATACAATGTCTGTGTACATACATATATATATATATATATATATACATATATATATATATATATATATATATATATACACACACACACACACACACACACATATATACATACACACACAAACACACACACGTGTACTTACATGTATATACATACATATATACACATACATATGTATATGTTTGTGTATGTATACACATACACACACGCACGCACGCACGCACGGACACAGGCACACACACACGTCAACTGTAAGTATTTTTGTTTTTCGTAAACTGAAGCAGAAATTATTTTAAGAAAACAAAAAACCTAGCAGTTTTATATTCATCCTGGTGGAGAAATGTCAAATAAACGAGTTATTTTTTTCCATTCCGTCACTTCTTTAACCGCCATTATCCTGAGCAAGGTTTAGTAGTGTGCATTTTTGTGAATTATATCCTGTTGTAGGTAGTGATGCAGGACACAAACAGTAGTGAAACGTCATTTGAAATCACGTGGGACTGCAACTATAAACGTGGCCTAGAAAGAAACCCTGTGTACCAGTATCAACGAAATGGGCAACCGAATTTTGACGTTAGTTCGTGCTCAGAGGCAGTTAAGTGTGTTAGGATGGGGCATGGTAATCTGGTTAACATTTGAAAAAGACAAAGACGCATACACTGTGAACCCGGACAGACACGCTGTTTAATGCTGAAAAAGGCGCTGATGGAGTTTAGGACAGAAAAAAAAAAAAGCAACAAACAACACAAAAGAAAAAAAAGAAGAAAAAAAAAGCACACAACTCAAAGCATCGACAATGACCAAAAAAATCCAGTTCTCAAGACAAAACGTCATGAACCGTTAAGACAATGGAAAGACAAGGATAAGCAGAGGATGAGGAGCGAGATCAGAAAAGCCAAATGCACGTCAAACAAAGGCAAGAGACGGGCTGGAAATGTGTGGTCTTAAAAGAAGAACAGCAGAACGACCGATCCAATAAATACAAAGGAAGAGGTTGAGAGAGGAGGAATATGAGTCTCCGCTCTGGCGCTGGGTTTTGAGAGGGGGTCAGGGGGGTTTCGGGGTGCTGTGGGCCGCGGGTCACAGTCAGCATTTCGAGAAGGTCTGCTTGATCTCATCCAACACATTCCCCAGCAGCGATGGCTCGTCGCACTTGGCGTCGATGGAGACGGTCTGATCAGACTGAAAGATGGAGATGTGTCGTTAGCAGAAATAAAACAAACATTCAATTGTCAAAATCAGGCCTGAATATGGTGAACCATTGGTACAGGGTTTCTGCAGGTTTCAACAGATTTAATTTCAGACTTTTAAAGACCATTTAAGCACTATTATGAATGAAATTTGAGACTTAGGCTAAATGCTAAGGATTTTTGTTTTTACTACATCGTTTCAGTTAAGCAAAAACACAAACTCGGGTAAATAAAAAAGATAGAGTTTACCATGAAGTTCGAGCTGATTCCCTGGCATGCTGATGTCATTTTACATTTGTTGTTTTTATCAGCTTTTTCCGACCCCATACAGTTTAAAGTCTTTTTTTCTTGACATCAAACGCGAATCTTCTTTTTCTCTCAGCTGTTGCCATCTCATTATACATAGTTTAATCAGACAGACTGACGCCCCTATAGGTGATACTGTAATCGCATCTGCATCTACTGTAAATCAGTTATTTTTCAAATGTGTGTGTGTGTGTGTGTGTCATACAACACACTCACAGATTAATTCTGATCGGATATGTTTTCCAAAAAAACATCCCTCAATCACTTTCTTGTCTTGTTTATATTAGTCAACGAAAATGTCAGTATATATTTATTTTATAGTTGTCTTCATCATCGCCTAATTTTTATTTAGTTTCTGTCAGTAGAAACTTGTTCGTCACGAAAATTGACAAAAATCGTCAACGAAATTAACCCTGATTTTGAGTCTTAATTTGGCCACAACTTTCTCTGTGTTTTAACAAATGTAATGGTTTTTGGTGACAAATGATATTCTCACACATATTTTGGGAAAATACTTTAAAAGTTTTCAAAAACTCAATACACTTTAACCACCCTTTATTATGTTGGTGGCTGTTTTTGCCCTGTTGACTTCCATTATAACCACATTTTTGATAGCAAAGCTATCACACCATATATTCATGGAATCTTGATTGTTGGGGGTTTTCCCTGTTGGGAAGGGGTCAAATTACCCATTTTTTACTGTTGATCAACAGTTGCAGTGCAAAAAAAGCTTGATTTGCTGTTTTACGACACAAAACTACATAAATATATAAAAGCCAGAAATGTTTTTGCATAGCCCTTTGTAAAGGGTAATGCTGTCAACTAATGATCAACAGTATAAATGACAAATTTAACTTCTTCCCAACAGGGAAAACCACCAACAATCATGAATGCATGCAAAAAATATTGTTATAATGGAAGTCAATGGGGCAAAAACAGCCACTAACACAACAAAGGGTGGTCAACTTGAAAAATACACAAGGGATATAGAGCAATAAAAAAAAATCTTCACAGGAGTTTGCCAGCTATCACATAATTAGAGGAGAAAACTCATAATCTATTGGTTGATCATTTATTTTGATACATTTTTTCGGAAAATATCACACAATATCGATGTGCTGGTAAATAGATTGTGCATCCCTTAAAAAGTAGTTTAAATGTTAATGTACAAAACTCACACTTTTGACCAGCAAACAGACGTGGTGACCCTGGATGGACCTGCTGTACATAGAGGCGCAGGAGTCAATCCTCTCCACAACTGCAACAGCAAGAAGAAAGAGGTTAGTGGGCTTTTTCCCTTATTTGTAGCACTACCGGAGGCGTCTGTGTGAAGGCAGCGCACCAGAGAAGTGATGGTGGAAGCAGATCCTGGCCAGCAGGTGGTGGAAGGGCATGTTGACCCCCTCGAGCCGCAGAGAGCTGCCCTTCAGGTCGCCCGACTCCAGCAGCTTTGCATATGCATCACTGAAAAACACAAGATCACGTCAAATCACAGGCTGATGACACAGATTAAGTTTAAAAAGATTACAAGCAGCCCTAATCCAATACATAACTAAACTAATTATAAAACAACTTCTTATCCATTATTAATAATATATATATATATATATATATATATATATATATATATATATATATATATATATATATATATATATATATATATATATATATATATAAATAAAAGACACATACGAACATAAAAGAAAACAAAACTAATGTAAAAGAGAAATATTAATAAAACTCTTACATTTACATTACTTAAAGTACAATACAGCTGAACGCAGAGTGAACGTATGCAGCACTGTTAAAAGTGCTTGGTTCCACACAACTCGCCAATGTTGTCCCAACACAAATAAATTAAGTTAACATAACAAATTTAACTGGACTGAACTTAACACAATTAAGTTGTACCAAAAAATTGCAAGAATTGTTTTGTTTTAGCTCAGCATTATGACGTAGTATATAGTGTGCAGCATATAAATACGTAAAATGTGCCATTATCATTGTAATATTTTGCGGTTTCATAAAAGAACTGATTAAAGTACAAAATAAAATGAATATACAGTGTATTATTATAGACGTATTATAATAATACTACTACTACTTTGTAAAACAAACAGTGAACAATAAAGAAATATTAACAAAGATTATTTATTTTTCAATCGTACAATAAAAATAAAGATAAAGATACATACATATATATTGTCATGATACCACTGATTCATGTAACGATACTATACCAGCTGAAGTATCATGATACCAAGTAGTATTGCATTACTGAAAGTCATAACTCAAATCCATGAAATAAAGGAAAGTGTCAGAAATGCTGTATCCATGATGGTGTTATCAAGACTTTTAGAAAAAGGTGAAAAACAGTGTGAGACTGATGACGGCAACCAGAAGAGAGAATAATGTCAGATTTACTGTCCTATCCATAGATGCTACATTAGAAACACCTTGCATGATGGTAATTCATTTTTTGTAATCTGATGCAAATATGATATAATATATACATAAATGTTTATACATTTAAAAAAAAATCTAAATATAAAACATTTTCAAGGATTTAATATTATGATGACCGTTAAACGTGTCATAACTGGCTTGTGAAAGAGTCCATACACCATATAATAAAAGCGAATACACATTAAAATGAAAGAATATGAAAATGATTACAGACATATTTAAACCCACAGTTTGTGGAAACTCATCCTCACCTGTAGCAGGGAGTGGTGATCAGGTATGACGTGCATGTAAAGTGCAGTTTGAAGTCCAGTTTCTCGTGAGTGGAGGATTCATCCGTCTGTTCCAGAAAAACAAGAAACAGACACGTCAACAACACCAACTCGCACACTGAAAGCGTATGCAAATGTACGTCATCTTCTCACCTTAACTATAAACGTGAGGGTTCCCTTCAGTTTCTGCGGCATGACGATACTCTGTACCGAGAATACGAAACGGGCCTCATTTGACACCCCTACCAAAACACGAGAAAACTAAAATCAGTCAGAATTCTAGTACTGGAATGGCCATAGCAGTAATTCTGAGCGTTCTCATACACGTTATATTCACATTCAAAGCTTCTATTGAGATATTAGTATTAAACTTTGAATGTCTGTGGTCATATTTTATGAAGTCACTACCGCAAAATTATGATCTTTTCGGTAATACAACCTATAAATATGTATGAGTTACTACACTGCCAGCGAAGGCACGCACCTCACTTTCTCCAGCAAGAAGGAAAGCTGCACTGAATATGTCATTTTAAAAAGTATGTCTGATGTAAAGCTGCTATCAGAAAGTTATTCTTTTGTTAGCAGAAAGCTGCTAGACAACATAGTATACGAGTTTTATTTTAGCAAGGTTAGTAAACTACAACATTTTAAAAAGGTCAAAATGAGTGTTCTAGTGCAGGACATTCATTCTGCCTGGATTTCAGTACTGTCCATCCTTAAGACCCCATTACACTTCAAACAAAGTTCTTTCTCGTTCTTTGTTTGAGGGCAAAAATAACAATGTTTAGAGCTTTATCAGACATGGCGCGATGCAGCTGTGATTCTGCAATGTGGATTCCGCGAGCAATCGTAAATCTATATCAGCTCTGGATCAACCCTCCAGTTTATTCTTGTTGCTAATTTGGTGTTCTTGTGCTGGATCTTTTTCTCCTGACCCAATATGAAGCATGTTAAAGGCAGAGTTCCAGGAGACAGCCACCGACTGCCTAATCATCACGGACCAATGGTAGCTTAAAAATGTTTAAGAAAAAAAATATATATTTTTTTTTGCTTTTAACTGCCAAAACGAACTTAAAATGAATAGTTTTTGTTTCAGGTCTTTTAAAATTTAATTCAAGGAATAGCAGGGTTTTTAACTTTTCATTATATTGTTTAATTTATTGCATTATTTATTAAACTTTTTGTTATAGTTTGTCATTTAGAACACTTTCCTTATTAATAGTTTTTAATTGTTGTGTCTATTCTGTCACTAAAACATTGTTGACAAAAAAATTGGCCAAATTGATATGACTGGTCAAAGAAAATGAGGACTGCAGTGACCTGGCGGCAACTGGAAGGGGACGGTGAGGCCGTCGTGGGGTCCTGCTCCGTCCGGCCGCTGCAGTTTGGAGTTGAGCGAATCCAGCACATTGAACTCCATGGACTTAAGAAAGCTGTCGCTCTTGTTCTCGAAGATGACCGACACCACCACTTTACTCTCGTCCTGATGGTTGCCCTGAATGTCACAGACCTGCAGAAGAGAGAAACACTTTCATGAGTCAGAAACGGATGAATAGGGTAATTTGTGGAGATCACAGCAACACCACACGGCTGACCGAGAACAGAAGGAAAAGACGGCGAAGAGGAAAACAGACCCGAGAGTTTCATCATCATCAGCTTTACAAGTGTTTTGAACAAGTAGAGTTTAAGCCAGATCTCTTTCAGCACTCAACAGATATTAGTCACAGTAGACGCCATAGTGTGTAATCTGACATAAGCAAACACAAGACTGAGGGATGCAAATACAGTTTCTTTAAAATGATGTGTGGATCTATATGTGTTGGTTCCTCAAGCGGTGATCTTACAGATGAAAATGCTCATTTTTTATTGCAATACTATCCAGTTTTAACTAGTATACATCTTAAGAACAATTTATTTGAATGAATGAAAGAAACATCGAAACAAGGTTACTGAATCCTTATTATTGGCATGTATGTATATGTATAAATAGCAGATACTTTATTAACATTTTGTTTTATAAACAATTTATACATAAACAAATCAGTGTATAATGCATAAAAAATAAGTATATTTTAATTAATTTATATTTAGAAATATATTACACATATGATAATACATTTCTTTGGCTACGTCTACACTAATTTGGATAAATTTTGAAAATGGCGTTTTCATCTGATGCTGTGTTCACACCAGATGCTGATGAAGCGTCAAGTGCGACTGATTTACATGTTAAGTCAATGCAAAGACGCAAAGAGACATCCTGATTCACACTGATGAGGCGGCGCGAAAGAAGCGGTACAAATTGAATGTTTTGCACGTTTGACGTGCTTTGCTTGCGTATCGCACACTTTGCTCGAAAATCTAAACTTCAGCAGACATTCCAATCGTAAACCAATCGTGAGCTTGCTCTTGTAGGTGAGTGATTATTGCCTGTTGTTGGTGTCCCGAGAGGAAATCATCTTGCCAACATCAAACAGCAGTTCCTCAAACAGCTCAGTTCATTCTGAAGCACCGCTAAAAGCCTCCATCATCCTTGTTAAGTTTCTGGAGGAGTTCATGAACTCAAAGAGCTGGGTGCACCTCTAAAATTATCTAGTGCACTCAGACATGGCGCAGAACGAATCTATGCTGTTTTTCTGCCTTACTAAAGCACATAAACACAACTGTTCTCTTAATAAAATTCATGTTAGCCATTTAGAAACAAAGCTAGAGTCACAGGCCAGACAGAAGCCCTGCCCATGATGCTAATCCGCGTCTACCGTGAAGTGAAATTGACACATGAATGAAGCGAGTACACTTAAAATGTTCATGCGTCTATTTACACGCAAATAGCATGATTTATTTGTGCGTGCCTCATCTGGTGTAAACGCAGTAAAAAACGCTCCAATTCTTTTGTTGGTTTTTAGGCTACGTCTACACTAATCCATATATGTCCATTTTCTTTCCTTCATCAAAACTAAAACGACCCTTTCGTTCATGTCACTGCGTGATGTCACAGATGTAAGATGCTTTTACTCGTGTCTCATCCGCCTGCCGTTTATTTACTTTCTGTCTCTTTGAAACAACGCAGCAAAATGTTGCAACTGTGGTCTGTTTTCGCCGCTGAACAGCTGCTACAAGTAAACATTCCACGTCCTTTGCAGAAAGGCAATGTGAAGCATGTACAAACTGACATAAACCTTTAATAAAGCTGTTAAAACGAACATCTGCTTTAAAATGTCATCCACCATGTTTAGTCATGTTGGTCACATGACTGAAATGCGTCAGTTTTTGAAAGCCACCGTTTTCGCAGCCCACACTGCAACACAAAAACAGCATTTTCAAATGTATCCACTTCAAACATCGGTTTGAAAATGTATGTTTTTTTTGTGTGGGCATGGCCTAAATAACTGTATTATTAACAGTTACACAAACACGTCCATTTATGCGGATCTTGATAGATTGATCTCTCAGCTTTGTTTTCACAACGTGTGTCTATATATATATTTAAATGGCTCTACTGTGACTAAAGTCTGCATCACAGCAAGTTAGTAGCACCATCAGTATTGGTGTTCCTGTGTTTACCTGATCAGCATCTTCTTTCATCTTAAAACACAGAGACACAACAACAACAGCACATCATTCACAGCCTACAGACCAGAATCACTTAAAGCAATGAGCCGCTTCAGCAAAAACAGCAGCAGCAGTCCTGTCTCTGGCTCAGTTCATCTTAATTACAGCCTGAGCTTCATGCTGAAGCCCGATACAAACATCAGACCCATTCACATCTAAAACACTCACCATCTTGATGTAGGAGTTCTCAGCCAGCAGAGAGTAGTTGGACATGGGCTGAAATAAGACGGAGGTTGGATTAGTACACGATCAAATGCATTTAGGTCACTAGTTTGTTTTCATTTAAAGGCCATGTGAACTGGAAGTTGCTGAGATTATTATTTCAGTATGGTGAAGTACTTCCAAATGAAACTCAATATTATGTAGGGCTCAGGGCTTTCTTTTTGCTCATCATTCCCTAATAGCGAACTAATGGTAAGAGGGGGAATGGTTAGCCAAGGTAATAACATGCAAAAGTGCACTTGGTCAGAAAAACGTACCACCCCTTTTACACCAGTCTACAGTGCTTTCCACCTTTGATTAGACTGAAAAAAGTTGAATCTTAAAAGCAGGTGTAATATAGGGGGTCTTATATAGGAAATTACAGGCCTTGTGGGATTGTTTTGTTATTGAGACACTGACCGGCAGCGGCTCCTCGTCCTCTACGGTGCCATTCTGCACTGAATCCTCCGCACCGGCGTCACTGTGATGATGATGATGGTGGTGGTGACGCTTCTTCTTTTTCTTCTCCTTCTCCTCCTTTTCCTTCTTCTGCTTCTTCTTCTTGTGTTTAGATGATTTCTAAACAGGTAAGCCAAAAATATATCCCTTATTTAGCATACTGGGTAGCATTTTTACTTGATTTAAACAGTTCCCAGATTAAAATCACAACATTGCATGAATTTTAGGTCCTAAATTATAGGAAGAAAAAAAATGACAAAGACAAAGAAACAGATTATATGACCTGATCATCTCATGATGCATTATAAATTACTGCACACTCGATAAACAATATAACACTGACTGGTAATATGTCAGTGAATTAGATTACTTATATATTTTTAATATTTTGCAATAAACAGTCATAGTGCCTTATGGGAATGGAAGATCACTTAATTGATTTCATGTTTATTTTATTAAAATATATTTATATATTTTTTTAATAAAATAAATAAGAAGAGACAAATGTAAAATCAAAAACACAGGCATGTAAGTGCCATTTAAATTTCAAAACAATCCATGCCAATAACAATCAAAAATGCTTTCCATGTTGGATTCTAAGTGGACTACACACACACACACACACGAGCACAGAGAGAGGGAAAGAGAGAGAGCGAGAGAAGAGAGAGAGAGAGACAGAGAGAGAGAGAGAGAGAGAAGAGAGAAGAGAGAGAGCGACAGAAGAGAGAGAGAGACAATGCGCGCAGTGCCGATGAGCGAAAGGGATCCCTTCAGATTCATTAACTCGCAAGATCACATTCATCAACTTTGTTTAAACTAAGCATTCTAAAGTATGGCTGTATTTAACAAGCAAGAATTCTGACAGAGGAACGTGAAGCAGACACTTTGCAAAAGGGGGGAAACACGTCAAACTTAATGAAACATTTGAGGGATGCAGCTTAAGGGCAGAGAAATGTCTTTGACAGCTTGCAAATTCATCTTGCACTTTCATTCACATGGACACCTTAATACTCAGCTTTTATGATTAAGATATTACTGAACAAGTTAATATTTTAAATTAATCACATGCGTTAACGCGCTAATTTTGACAGCCCTAATATATATATATATATATATATATATATCCATTATTATTTATTTATACTTGTAATTATGTAAAATGCAAATTCACACTCTTGTTTAAATTTCAAAAATTTCAATAATATCTGCATTTTTGCTGTATTGTGTTCATGTCTGTCTTAAACAATTAAATATTTCTTTAATGTTTAAATTGACTATCTAATGTTTTATTTTTATTAATGCTTTGTCTAAAAAGCTAATATTTACTGTTTTAATATAATGTTCATTTTAAATACTTAAAAGAAAATGTAATGTATATGTTATAACAAGTGTGTATGCGTGTATATAGGAGAATTTAGTTATGTAACACACCCATAACATTTATTTTAAACATATAACTAATAAACATTAATTATAGACACCACTATTGGTGAAACAAACAGCACTACATGTACAAAAAAAGACTCACAGTGTCATCTGGCTCAGTGTCTTTGAGCTCCTCAGGCTCAGACTCTGCAGCAGCTGCAGAGCTCGAGTCGACAGTAGCAGCAGCAGCAGACGAGGACACCGTCACTACCTGTGAACAAACATCCATCATTAAAACACACCGGCCAGCAGAAGACCATCCTGCTCTCCAAACTGTCCACAGAGACCCCAGAGTGACCGTCTACACAATATGAAGCATGCAGAATCAACAACATCACGACCGAGATGAACAAAAGCTGATTTGATGGCGTTGGACTGTCACATTGGGAGGGAAAAAACATTTAAAAGACGGAAAAGTGGTTAACCTGCAGCGAGAAAGGTGGATTTGGACAGGTAAAAAAATAAAGAGTATTGTATTTTATTATATGAAAAAGGCTTGACAATTCTTTTCCTATATATTTGAAACAGCTTTTCAAGTTTGAATTTGTGTTGACGAAAGAAAAAAGTAAGAAGGTAAAGAAAGAAAGAAAGAAAGAAAGAAAGAAAGGTAAAAAATAAAAAATAATAAAGGTAAAGAAAGAAAAGAAAGGCAAAGTAAGAAAAGATATAGAAAGAAAAGAAAGGTAATAAAGAAGAAAGGTAAAGAAAAGAAAGGTAAAGAAAAAAGAAAGTTAATAAATGAGAAAGAAAAAAAAAGAAATGAAAGAAAGAACAAAAGCAAGCAAGCAACAAAGGTGAAAAAGAAAAAAAAGAAAAAAGATAAAGTTAAGGTAAAAAGAAGGTAAAGAAAGAAAAGCAAAAGAAAGAAAGAAAGAAAGAAAGAAAGAAAGAAAGAAAGGGATATAAAGAAAGAAAGAAGTTAAAGAAAGAAAGTAAAGAAAGAAAGAAAGAAAGAAAGAAAGAAAGAAAGAAAGAAAGAAAGAAAGAAAGAAAGAAAGAAAGAAAGAAAGAAAGAAAGAAAGGGATATAAAGAAAGAAAGAAGTTAAAGAAAGAAAGTAAAGAAAGAAAGAAAGAAAGAAAGAAAGAAAGAAAGAAAGAAAGAAAGAAAGAAAGAAAGAAAGAAAGAAAGAAAGAAAGAAAGAAAGAAAGAAAGAAAGAAAGAAAAGAAAATGAATGAATGAAAGAAAGAAAAAAGAAAGAAAGAAAAACAAAGAAATAAGTTAAAGAAAGAAAGAAAGAAAGGACAAAGAAGGTAAAGAAAGACTGTAAAAAAGAAGGAAGGTAAAGAAAGAAAGAAGGTAAAGAAAAAAGGAAGAAAGAAAGAATAAAGATAGAAAGAAAAAAAGAGTTAAAGAAAAAGTAATGAAAAAAGAAAGTAATAAAAAAGGTAAAGAAAGAAAAGAAGATGAAGAAATAAAGGAAAGTAGACAAAAAGAAATAAGGTAAAGAAAGAAAAGAAATGAGGTCAAGAAAGAAAGAAAGAAAAAAGAAAGAAAGAAAAAAGATATTAAAGAAAGTAAAATAAAGAAGGTAAAGAAAACAAGGCAGAAAGAAAAAAGACAGACAGAAGGTAAATAAAGAAAAAAATAAAGAAGGGAAAGAAAGAAAGTAGAATTTTAGCATGTTTTAACACATTGTAAACATGGTGTGTAACACATTTTAGCATGGTGCTAGCTCATTTCTAGTTAATTTCTTAGCACATGGGTATGATGCTATTGTGTTTTAAATTAAAACAGGAATTAGAATGTTTATAACAAGGTTCAGACATTGCTAACACCCCAACATGCTTATGGCTAATATTTTAACGCTTAACATGATGTTAACAGGTTCATTATTCTAACTATTATAAAAAAACAACAGGGGACATGTATAGCATTGTTTTAGCATGCTGCTAACATGATTTGTCATATTTATACCTTGGCTAACATTTTTAACATATTTCAGACTTGATTACCATGTTATTAGCAAGACACAGCATGTTTACACAAGATTTAGAGCGCTAAAATTAGTATTTTCTACATTTTAACAGGCTTAGTGCGCTTTATGAACATATTAAAATATATTTAACACCTTGCTAATCTAAATGAACATATTACATGATGGCAGGTTTCTGGCATGCTTAACATTCTGCAAGCTTAATTTATGATGTTAGCATGTTGCTAACACTGCTCAAATGAATTAAAACAACTAACATTTTTGGAAACTTTACCATTTTAGCATTCCCTCAGTTGATGTTATGCTATGATTCTGATATAGGTAGCCAGGCGAATGAGGGCCTGAAGCTCTGAAACGCATTTAAGCTAAATAAGTGTTCACTATTACAAGTTTAGACACCCTCAACAAAAGTCGATGGCATTTTCTCAGTTTCAATTGTCCGGTTTCCAAAAAAACACAGAACATCAAGTTTGTTCTGTCTTGGGTGACCTACATTTGCTTTAGGCTTTGTGCACATGAGCTGCTCAACTGGAACCGCAAGAACTGTCAATAATCTGTCTGTTTGCGATGACAAAGATTGTACAGGAGACATTTTTCACATCAATCATACACCTCGGCACGTGCACGCATGCATCTGGAGGGGAAAAACAAGCTAAGGCAAACGCACAGAAATGTGCGAGACCTGGGAACACCAGTGAAAGAGAGAAAAACACAGACTGATTTTAAAAAACAAGGGAAGACGACAGCAGGGGGAGGACAGAGAGAGTGTGAGGGACCGGACCTGGGCCACGGGGGGAACAGGAGCGCTAGAGAGCCAGAAATCCAGATCCGAGGCCTACAACACAAGAGGCAGGGTGGGGGAAATGAGTCCAGCCCTGTTCGGCTCAAAACAAACACTCTGACAACCTCAGAAAAACCAACATGAGCAGATATTCCATCACCGTGTCAATGAGTCAGGTTCATTTTACATTATAAATGTGTAATTTCCTTTAAACTATATCACTATCGAATGAATTTATACTCTTGTGAACATAATTAGTTGAAATATGATGCACATTTATGTCAATACAGCACCGCCTGGTGGAACAGGTTTGACTATACATAGATTTTCATAATTAAATTGAAAATAAAGAACAAATCTATTATTTTCCCATGTAAGAAAAAAAAACAAATTTTCCACAAATTAAATAAAAGCAGAAGCAGAGAATTTACTTTAAGAAAAACGAAATGCATACATTTAATAAATTTGATTAAGCCTTATTATTAACGTTTAATTTGTTTAATTTACCACAAATGCATTACTGACAACCCCCCCCCCTTTTTAAATAAATACAGATCTTTTTTCAATTATAGATCTGACAAATATTAAAAATTAAGCAATCAATACATTTCTCAAGGTTAAGATGTCTAAAAGCAAGAGATAAATTTATACCACAATTTAATCAAGTGTACAGATATTTTGCTCAAAATAAATATACATTTCATGTTTTATTGTGCTTCATATTATAAAAATACAGAAAAAAATTCTAGTTATTTTTGCGATATCACACCTGTAATTGCATTAATTTGATACAAACATTTATTTTCTAATGGGCCGATCACACAGAACACACTTTGTGTTGAGAGGTGCCTTTTTTTAATGGCTTACTAATGGCCACGAGCGTTGTGCACTGCTTATGCTAGCCTTTTAACCGCTTGCTGTCCCTCGCATTTTTGCCCTTCCACGCCGTGCAATCACAGTTGAAAAAAGTCAACTCTGAGCGGGAAAAAGCGCATTACGTCAGTTGTGTCTTTTTCATTGTCCAATCAAAGGAAAGCAGAGGCGGGGTTTCCATTGAGGTGCCAGCAGTGTTTGCGTTGTCAAGACAACAACGGAGACTTTTGAAGATGGAGAAGAGACTTGTGGTTGCTGCTTTGAATTATCCGGTGCTGTATGACACATACATCTTGAATTTCACAATATTATTAAATATTAAAATTATATTAATATCAACACTCTCGCACATTACGCAGCTGATTCAGTCATTGTCTAGTGACATAAAAAGCGCACGCGCTTCTTTTTTTCTAGTCAACAAAAAAGGCAGTGAGGTGGACCTTGTGTTTTTGGAATGTAAACGCATGTTCGGTGTGACCAGCCCCTAAATGAGTTTTCTAATGACGAGTTCAGACTGCATGATTTTAGCCCAGATTTTGACTAGCTGACAGGTTTTGAGAAATCGCAGACAAATGCCTGAAATCATAGGCAAATTGTTGCTCGTTCACGACTAACAATCACACAGTGTGAATGAATGAACAACCCGCGAGATATTTGGCATGCTAAATATCTGGAGCTGTCTGCGATTCATCTCAAGCCGTGTGAAATGTGTTCTTATTGAAAATAACAACTACCTACAGCCAATGAGAGAGCAGCAGTCACTAGTATGGGTATCTGCAGGTCAGAGGGAGGTTGATAGAGCAGTTAAAAGTGCTTATTTTCAGTTTATTCAGACGCAAAAAATGGAGGAAAAACTAGTGTAAATTTGGCAGGAGCATCCATGTCTGTTCTCCCTTCCAAAGGCCAGGTGAGCAAAATAAGCACATTTTCTACCCCTCTAATGTAATGTAATGTCTATTTATATAGCGCATTTATTGTGTAAGGCCATACACCCAAAGTGCTTCACAATCATGAGGGGGGTCTCTTCACACCACCACCATTTAGTATAACTTTAGGATAAAGCATCTTTAGTATATCTTTAGGATAACAAAAGATATACTACATGACCTTGTGTTGTTTTCAGGTCACTCCTCGCTAGGGTTGTAACGGTATGAATTTTTCACGGTATGATAATCGTCTAAAACAATACCACGGTTTGACGGTTTCGCGGTATACGGTATGTTACAAATGTTACAAAATAATAGAACAGTGAAGCAAATTTGACTTTTTCCAAATAATATATTTTTAGTTACTATAAACAACACCACTTACAATGAACAAATAAAAATAAGAAAATAATAAATAATGTGTCAAAGTCCAAATAAAGTCCAAATAAACATGGTGCAAATCCTCAGTAAAAAATAGATATAAATATTTACTATACTATAAATAGTTACATAACGAAACTAGATTCATTATGGAACATCCTTAGGTTTTATGTGCCAGCATGGATATGGTTGTCTATGGATATGGATATGGTTGTCTGCAATGCAGACAAACAGCTGCATCTTCATTTGCGTCTTTTGAAAACAGCAAGAGCAGCAGTTCGTCTTTGCTGTGTCACTGTTTTGTCATGTTTCTGTGCTGCTGTGCATGCAAAAGTACTTAGTATGAGAATTATTTCATGCAAAACTTTTTTTTTGCGTTTTATTTAGCTGCGCATAAATGTATGTATGCATCTCTCATTCCGTGTTGTTCAAAAAGCTTAGTCCACAAACAAAAGTGAAACCTATGCTTATTGGTTGTGATATAGCGAGTTTGAACCAATCTGGGCATGGAGGAGGGACAATGCATCGATGTATCATGTCTGATTTGTCCGGAGACACAGTGACGAGCGTTTCTTTGTCAAATCAGCGTTGTCAAATGTTGATGACGTAACCGCACTGATTCCGGAGCCTCTGAAAGTCTGCGAATGTTATGTGATACAGCACTGGAAAGCTGAGATTCTCTTCTTTATGCCAATCTTTGAATTGTATGAATCGGATCAGCGGATTAAAAGTTATTAAACATTTAAGAGCAATAACGTTACTTATTTTTAGCCGCGGGCGGCTGTCTCGGTCTTTAAGGGTTAAAACCGTTGATATGCAATTGTTCATGGTATGATAATCGTGCACGTTCAAATCGTGGTAAACCGTCATACCGGTATATTGTTACAACCCTACTCCTCGCATGGGTTTGGTTGTGAGATGTAGTTTGCAGACTGAGACAAAATTTGTCAGGGATACTTCCAATTGTAAAATCATGCAGTGTGAAACTTTCTTTTGCCGATCCATCTTGCAGTGCAAACAAAGTACCGACAAAATGCTACCCCAGATAGTCATGCAGTGAGAAAACATCTGTGACATGACTACTTTGAAAATCATGCAGTCTGAACTCGGCATAACCTTTCTATAAAATATAGCTCTAAAACTTGCGCACATTTTCATCAAATCAGTATGTTCATTCATTCATTTTCTTTTCGGCTTAGTCCCTTTAATAGAGTCTGGGGTCACCACAGCGGAATGAACCGCCAACTTATCCAGCACATGTTAATTAATAATAATCTAATAAATTAAAATGCATGTGGACGAGACATTTAAATTGATATATATATATGAAAAACTAACTATTGAATCAGTTTAAAACGCATAAAAGGATTAAATGAACAACAGTCTAATTTGAAATATTAAACACCCCCTAAATGGCAAGCAGGTTGCCACTAAAAACAAATCTCTCTTGCTTCCTTTTCTATTAATTTAAACTGTATATAGTAAAATGATGTCTAATTTAAAGTAAACAAAGTAATGGAATATTTCAAAGCAGTATAAAAAAGCAACAGCAAACGTTAGTGATGAGGAGGGAAAAACGCTGGGTTCACACCAAACGCGGAGCACCACATCACTCACTCCAGTTTACTCACGTAAGCAAATTTTCACGGTAGACGTGAAAATTTAGGCAAACATGTGTCAAATATCTGCACATATGTGGCAAATGCGTCAAATATTCTGCATCATTTTCAAAGTGTGGTGATAATTTCCCTAAATTTGCGCATTTACATTGACTTTGGATGTAATTTACTCACTTGAGTACTTAATTCCATGTTTGGTGTGAAGCCAGCATAAGACTAGCATTTGTAACAATTAGTGCAAAACCAAATCATACATCAGCAGATGTGGGCGGAACTGCCACCTCTTTGGTCTCCTCTGATTGGACGACTTCTTCAGGCAGGGACTCGGGAAGCTCCTCCTCCACATCTTTGTGCTTCTTCTTTTTCTTCTTGTCCTCTTTGCTCCTCTACAAAACATCCAAACCAACACTACATGAATATTACGTGGATAAACGCACCTGAAATTTGATATTTTGTGTGTTTCATTAAGTTTTTTTTAATCTAATGTAAAGAAAATAATCAAAATGACACTTTTATGCATTTATTTTGTTGCATTTCTTTAACAATTTGTCTTTAGAGTTAAATTACAGTACATATTTGTATCATACATAAATCATAAGTCATAAATCTCCACTTCACCACATCAAGCTTTTTATTCGGTTCTGTTTTCTGAAGATTTTTACTGAAGGATTTTTTTCATAAATGATTTGTCTATAGATTTTATAGAATATACATATACAATATTGTATACTATATAAATGGAGATTTTTTTGTCTGTTCACAGTATTTTTTCCGAATTATGGGGTGCTAAAAGGAGATCCTCTCAGTAAAAACCTTGGTCTCTAATGTCAAAAACTTTAATGATTTGTGTGCAACAAAATAAACACAAATGTACACATACTTATGTTCCATTTGTATATTTAAAACCCGCTCGTATTGCTCAACTACAGAAATTTGGTTTATATTTCTAGAAAATCTGACCTTTCTGTCCTTCTCCTTGTCTTTCTTCTTCTCCTTCTTGTCCTTGCTGCTCTTCTTCTTGGTCTCCTGCGGGATAGTGTTGTCGTCTCTGTCCTCCGCAGGGCTCTTCAGCACCTCTGGACGATGGGTCCTCACTGGAAGCTTCTCACTGTCTGCAAGTGGCCTGGAAAAAAAAAAAGAGAAAAATATATTAGATGGCTATAAAGAAAAAAGACAGGGAAGCAAGAGTGGTTGCAGGTCACAAGGTAGCTTGGAGAGGTTACAGGTTATTAAAAAAAAACATACGGGTTAAAAGTCTAAAGGCCTGTTCACAACAAGTCTGATGAGACAAACTGACACAGAATATCACAACAAACGAAAATTGTGTTGGTTTTGATAATTTGATAATTGTTTGTTGATTTAAGGTTAAAAGTTAAAATAACCCTAATAAAATGAAACAAAACATGCAAACTTACACAAAAGAAACACTTGAAAACAAATAATTTAACCTGCTGAACTGTGTTTACATAACAGAAAGAACAAAGAAATCTAAACAAATAAAAATGTAACAAAACTAAAATGAATAAAAACCAAAAAAATCTTTTAATAACACCAAATATTTTAATCTAAACTCTGTTTAATAAACCCAGGCTGAAATAAAATGATTTGAATCAGTCATTTAGTAGTTTTTTAATAATAATGATAAAGCAAAACACCAAAAATACAAACAAAACAAAAAACAAATATTGGGATTTAAATGAATCTGAAAAATAAGTACAAAAACTTACAGATCGACCCAAATTAAAATTCAGGTCTGAAACTAAATTCTTGAAGAACTGACGCCCCATTTACACGGAGCTTCAGCGTCAACGCTTGACTGAAGGCGTGTCTGAAGTTGGGGCTGAAGCGATCATCATAGAAGCGTCAGCCAATGAAATTCAGTCAGTAATAGGCCACTGTTTAGCTGATGTATTTGCATTCAGGGTTCTTACACCTTTTCCAACTTCAAATTCCAGCACTTTTCAAGCACTTTCAATGAGCATTTTTGTTTTTTCAGCACCTAACAACCATGGTATATTACGTTTATATATGTTGTATTTACGTATTCACATTTAAATCCCCTGTGCTATTTAAAAAAACACAATATGACATTTCTACTTAAATTGTTCAATATTTTGGAGCATAGACTTATTGGGATAGTTCACCCAAAAACAGTATATATATATATATATATATATATATATATATATATATATATATATATATATATATATATATATATATATATATATATATATATTAGAAAGTTCAGTTATTGGATGAAGTATCTTTTAAAGTCCGTTCTCTTTCTACCTGAAGTTGATTTCTTGTTCGTAATATTTTATGTCCACTGCTATTCAAGTAACAAATTAAATCCTTAAGAGTCAGAAAATATTCCTGCAGCAAACTAATAAACTGTTCCTATGTCAATTGTTGTGAAAATCCGTCACCAAATATGGAAATGACAGTTTGTAAGCTTTCATCGATATTACTTTTTATTATTGTCGATATTACTTTAGGTTTTGATTATGTGAAAAATTAATTTTTAGCTTAAAGGAAAACTACTCCATAAGATAACGAATTATTATGAAAGCAATGCAATTTCAAATTCAAGCAGGTTTAAGCACTGTTCAAAATCCAAGCACTTTTCTAACCTTGAAAACACTATATTAAAAATCAAGCATTTTCCAGGATTTCCAGCACCCGTAGGAACCCTGTGCATTCAGCAATCTGATTGGCTGACGTTTCCGTCGGTGCTTGAAAAGTTGAGCTAGTCCCAACTTCTGCAGCGAGCAACGCCTCCGAATCGGCGGCGACAGATCCACAATGCAGTTCAGCAACGTCTGACGTCACCCATTCAAGGTGAATGGGAAGCGTCGACGCTGACGCCCCGTGTGAATGGGGCATTCGTCAAAAACGAAAAAAGTCCATTTAACTTAACTTCCTATTAAAAAACACAAGACAATAAAATAAGTAACCATAGTATATTGAAAGCTGTCAATTTAGAAGTGTTGCCACGACAGGTCAGTAGTGCAAGCATACTATGTATACTACATACAAATGTCCTGTTGGTGCATTTTGAGTGGACTTTTTTCTGATGAGCATGTGCATTTCATGCATGAATAACTATGTGTACATGAACGGAATATCTACACAGTGCAATATTTTGTATATTGACTGCATGGTGCACGCAAGCTACTTGAGCTTTTTTACATTTTTATGAGCAGAATATCTACACAGCGTAATATTTTGGATATTGACTGCATGTTGCCACAAGCTACCTGACTGTGCACTTTGCTGCACTTGCACTTTGTTCACTGCAGCAACAAATTATGCCATTGAAATGAATAGGTTTTATAGCATAGTGCTTTCCGTGTCTGGTGTAAAAGCTGCTTAAAATTTATAGTCACTGGGCAGAGCAGCGCAGCATAGCTTTTTTTTTTTACGGCCTGTTTTTTCCCTTTGGATAATTTTTGCCAATCAAACAAAAAAATACTTAAAAACATAAATAAATAAAGATAAGAGAAATAATTTAGGTGCTATATTTTAAATTTGGCTTCTTTTTTTGTATGAAGTGGTGTATGTGGTTTGTGGCAGAAATTCAGATTTGCTGTGAAAAGGCCTTTAAAAGCAGTAAAACGTCCCTGTACAACAAAGCTGCCAACAACTGAGGATTGAAAATTCTCGCTAGCGAATTTCAGGAGAAAAACCAAAGCCAGGCAAGGCTGTCAACACTGGCAAGTAATACACTACTGTTCAAATATTTGGCATTAGTACAATTTATTATTTACTTTACTGAAAAAAAAATAATACTCTAATAGAGACGATCCATTAAACTGATCAAAAGTGGCATGCATAATGTTGCAAATGTAATTATCCAATAATAGTCTTTACAATAGATCACAGTTTAAATTAAACATTAAACATCTGATAATAAAATGAAGGATCATGAGACACCAGAAGATAAAAGAATAAACGATTTTCTATTTAAATATGTATGTAAATTGCAATAAGATTTCTTGATTTTACTTGATATACAAAAAAATCTACTGACTCCGAACTTTTGAACAGAAGTATTCAAGTTCTAGCCAAAAACCCAACTTGGAGCTGATCATACATGCATAGCACATTCTTCGCTACATATTTTGTGATCCAGCAGCGACATACTGCGATTGCCAGGAAAATAGGAGTAACAGGTGTCGATAATTGGCCAGCTGATTTCCACTGGGTCACATGACCACAGGAAGTACTCACCGTGATCCAGCACCAGAGAGCAGACTGTCAGGAGGGCAGATGAGTGCGTGCATGGGAGAAAGAGATGAAAAAAAGGCAGAAGAAAAAGAAAGTAGTGTGTGTGAGTGAGTGGAGGAGATACAGGACAACTGGAGATCCCCAAATCATCAATCAGCGGCCGCTTAAAGGCCTTTTAACGGAAGACAGTGGCAGGAAGCATGAAATTGAAAACAATAACTGGAGGAAAAAAGGATGATGACAGTGAAAATTAAGTGCAATTTAATGTTCTCCGAGTAACAGAGTGTGACCGACCAAACAATGAGACATGCTGACATGCCCTGCATGCCGACAACTATAATAATAAAGATGGTTTTGAAAACTGTTCTTAACTTTAAAAACTAAAATTCAAAAACTACAAAAATTTTAAAAATTGTTTCAGAACTTTGCTTCGATTGCTGTAAAAGAACATGGCTCTCAAACTTGCAGCTCTGCACAGTTTTGCTCCAACCCTATTCAAATAGAGCTGATCCAACAAATCAAGGTGTTCAAGAGTAGTCTACACACTTATAATGAACAAAGCCATATCTCATGTGGATTTTAATATAGGTGTAGGACCTTTTTTTTGGTTGTAATTTTCCTTCACACTACTAGAGGGTGTATAATGTATTTATGATCTTCTAATGATGACCTGGGGAATGTAGGTCAAAAAACTTTTTTAGACTTGAGAATGAGTTTATTTTGACGTTTACTTTTTTTTAACTTTTGATGAAATGGACAATTAAAAGATTGGAATTCATTTTCTTTTAGGCTTATTCCCTTTATTAATCCTGGGTCGCTACAGCGGAATGATCCGCCAACTTATCCAGCATATTTTTATGCAGCGGATGCCCTTCTAGACACAACCCACCTCTGGGAAACATCCACACACACTTATTCACACTCATCTATGGACAATTTAGCCTACCCAATTCACCTGTACCGCATGTCTTTGGACTGTGGGGGAAACCGGAGCACCTGGAGAAAACCCACACAAAAGCAGGGAGAACATGCAAACTCCACACAGAAACGCCAACTGACCAAGCCGAGGCTCGAATCAGCGACCTTCTTGCTGTGAAGCAACAGCACTACCTACTGCGCCACTGCATCGCCAAAGATTGGAATATCTAACTTTAGTTTAAAAGGTATGGACTTCATTTTGTTATTGAACAGTTCAAGGAACAAACACATCAAAACCAACGATCTAATTATGCGCAACCACAATAGGTATTAAAATTATTGCTTTTGGTCCGAATGAACATTGAAAATTTAACAAGCGTAGCTAGTGATGCCTCGATTTCTGTAAACAAAATATAAAATTAAATATTGGGGTCCAGTTTTGGAAGAAACCGTTTAGTCAAGTCAAATTATTAAATGTAACAGCAAAATATGAATTCAGTGTCTGTAAAAACATAACATAATAATAAAACTAAATAATAATTTCAGTGCATCACTTTATGTAGAGCAAATCAAAGACCACAATGTTGCACATACTTGTCCAGATCGATGTCCAGAGCTTTATGAGGGTCATTGGGATCTTTATCATCATCATCACTTGGTAAGGCATTCTGGGAACAGAGACACAGCAATATTATTGCACATAGTTTTGTCAACAGCATTATAAATGCATTCAAAATCTGTACTGTATGGATCTTAAGCATTATTATTGTCTAAAACCGTCATAACTTTATATATTTAAAAAAAAACATAGTTTAAATGTTTTGAATTTACCTTCCTTTAACTGTATTAACAATATTATTACTTTATCACTTTATTATAGTGATTTTAAATCAAATATAACATGATTATTACAAATAATAAAAAAAAAAATATATATAAACTTTTCTTGCATAAATACAGATATATACACTAAATATTGCATAGGGACCCTGAGCATGCGTCAATAGCGCCGCCACATTGGTACAGTGCTTCCAGGACAAATGTCATTCAACCGCACTAGTCAAGACAGTGTTATTACATGAAGATGCGGGACTTTAGCGCTGTCTACGGGTGTAGTAACGAGCAAACAAAGAAAACAAAGCACAAAGGCAGAATATTTCATAGGTAATATTATGTTTTTTTCTGTTTTTGTATGTTCTGAACTTTTGTGCTAATCAGGTAACGTTATTGATGATAACAATCACCTACTGAATTCACCATACGGCAAAGCAGCTCCAACTCGCACTAAACACTCGGCTTATGCTAGTTTTGTTGTATAAAATCAGCAAACAATGCAAAAGAAATATGACAACGAGATGCTGCGCTGCCAGAAACTTGTATTATTGTCGCCTAACTTTAGTGAAAGAGTCGTTCGGGGGATTCATTCACAAACGAATCGCTCTCTCCCTGTCAGTATGAGAAGTGAAAGCGGTAGAGGAGGTGTGTTTCAGGACGATTAGATCAAATTTAACAGGGAGGGTGAATAGTACATTTCTGTACACACAATCACAAGCTTTTTGTCAGGAATGCCCGTGCGGTCACTGATCTATCAATGTAGAAAAGTTATGTAAAATTATAATTTGCGTAATTAGAAAATAAAAATTACATACTAACATCCAGAAAAAACTCCCGATCATAGATATATGTGTATATCTCTGGCTTTGCATGGCCACAGTCCTCCACTGTACCTTGGTCCCGCATTCATTTCAAAGGAGCGCTACCCTGTAGCAAGATGGCGGCGCTATTGACGCATTCCATCCAATAGACAACAATAGGCCAGGCGACATCTAGTGTATATATCTATGGCATAAATATTTCACTTTCAGAAAAAAAAGAAAAAAAATTATACTTCATGTTGCAATGGGGTAAAAATAAATTCACTTTTTTGGCACCTTGTATTTTGTAGATATATTACCAAAAATGAGATGTATCATCATTTATTTCATTTTTCTTTCTTTTTTTTTTTTTTTTTTAAATAAATCTTAACTATACAAATACTGGTAAAAAATTACCACAAAATTAAACGTTTAACATATCTTAATAAATATTGTAACAAAAATAAAATAATAAAAACTAGAATTTTTATTCTATAATATTATATTTATGGCGAAATAAATAAAAGTAAATAAAGGTATTTCGTGTTTTTGATGGTCTTATGGTCCGTTTCCAATGAGTGGTACAGAACGGTCCACTGTCAAAAGACGTACCAAACTAAACCGTAGCATACCACTTTTTCGAAAAACCTTTTGAAAACGTACCAAACACGAGAAAGGGTACCAAAAGGTGGAGCCACACACGCAGCTGAATGCTGATTGGTTACAGAGATACGTCACTAGCTTGTGAGGAGCTAGCCAGAATGAAAACAAAGGAACCACCATGTTTTAAATACAAAGCTGAGACATTACATCGTAATGCAATATGTATATTATAATGACCCATGAATGACAAACCTACATCAAACAAACCTTGATGTACATACACAAAGTCAAGAAGAACAAAATCTGACGTGTACTGTTGTTGTTCTACGATGCTGCCTAAAAGTGTGAGCGGGTGAGCCGATGATAATAATATGCGCGTGATTATTAAAGCGTCTCCGTCGTCTGTTCCATTCAGAAAGAAAAGGACATTCAGAGTGAAGCGTGAACAAAGGAGAAGCCCAAAAAAACATGGGAGCAAATCGTTTTAGCAACCTGAATCACAAACAAACTGCCATGTTTATCACCGCCTTTTAGACAATTATAAACTCGGAATGACAGAATTACTTTCTAACAGAGGTTACACGTGCTGGTGAAGATTACAGACACGGATAAGAGGTTTGCACTGACTGTGGGCTACATGTTGCGCGTTGTTTTTGAACCTAAATAAGGACTAAATGAATGCTGTGTGTGGTTTTCTGAAAGTTGTAACATATCAGAGACGGTAAGGGTCTTTATGTGTTTCTATATGTTGCATTTATATATTTATTTTATATAATTGCAGACATTGCAGTAGGCTATTTCACACTGTCATTGATCTGCACTTATAATCTAATTAATTTAATAGCAACGTTAGTAATAAACATTTATAAACAAGTACTTATGTGTATAAAGCATCTGTTTTGTGATAAGTCCTTCTTATATGATATGCAAACAACCCGTACAGCTTTACTGTGGACATTTACTAGAGCGAGAATGACGTCAACTGACACTTTCTGTCGTACACCATGCCCACCAAAAAGGGTACCCTTGGTAGTGAAAATGCAAGCTTGATAAAGGTGACCCGTAGCGACCCATACTGTACTGTACCAGTCAGTGGAAACGGGCCATTAAAGCATTTGCATAGTTTTGTTTTCTCACTAAACACATACATTTTGTGTGCTATAACTCTTCCACATCAAAATGGAGCTGTATGCAGCATGAGGGTAAAATGCGTGTAAAATAAGAGCTGTCTACCTCTGGCATTTCCTCTGTGACTATGTCCACATGGTGAGCAGGTGTGATGTCCTCCTCGCTCTCGGGACCTGAATCCCCCTTCCTCCCTTTCCCTCGCTTTTCCCTCTTTTTCTTCTTCTCCTTCTTCTTCTTGTCGGCCTTCTCCTTCTGCCGGCGCTCCTCCTCCAGCTTGACGTACTGGTCAGACATGGGCATCCCTGGAATAAACGCAACACAATTATGATGATGTTGATTATTTTTATTCTACGTTCCCTTATGGAGGATTTTACTAGATCACTTTGCTCACCTGGGACTTTGAGAGGCACACTAAGGTCAATCTGCACCACTGGGATGTGTTCAACTCCTGGCGCATCATAAACCTGCAACAAGATCAAATGTCAATGTTTTGTAGTCTTAGAAATAAGAGTGTCAAATATTGACAAAATGTAGATTTATTTATTTTCTTAACATTTTTGGTTATTAAAATGCTAACAAATTAGCACAATGTTGCTAGCAAGCCTTATCTCACTGCTAACATGAAAACGCTTTTAGCAAGTCTAAACATAATGGGTTTTGTTACCATGTTGCTGGCAATAATTCACTTATTGTCAGTATACTGTTTTTATTATTTTTAATATGTTCCCATGCAGTCTTTTTGCTAGCTAGATTGCCCATTTATCACGTTAGCATGATTGAACACATTTGCATGTTTATAGAACTTTTCAGGAAATGCTAATGTTCCAATTTCAAACAATGCTAATATTGAACACACTGCTGATGTGTTGCTTACATGTTGTGCTAGGAACCTAGCATCCCTTAAAATGCAGTTCCGAGCACTTTGCTAGCATGACTGAACTTATTTGCAGAGCACTAGTTTTCACATTGCTAACATGTTACTACAAGGTTGTAGTCTTTAACACATTGCTAACATGCTAAATCACTGCTATTATGTCTTATCACACTGCTAATTCACTTTTACAAATTTCTTGCTCATCTTAACATATAATTCTGGGCATGTTGTTACTAAGGTGAGTTTTGTTAACAACATTTGTTTATAATTGGTTTACCTTCTAAACAAATTGTTAACACAATTTGTTGCATGTTTATCACATGGCTTACATTTCAACTATCCTAATTGTACAATCTAAGCTTGTTTTAACACAAATGCTAGCTTTTTAATGTCTTTCCACGAATCTAGCATGCATAAACAAGCTGCAAAATTATGTTTTTTAAACACACTGCTAGCATGTCTTGATACCAAATTTATCACATTGCTAACATGAATAAACACATTGCTCGCACGTTTCTAAAATTAATACATAGCCAACAAACTTGTTGCATCACTTGGTGCTAGCATAGTTGCTTACATGTTGTTGTCTTTAAAACACTGCTAATATGAATATCGCTAATGTTTCTAACATGTTGCATCATGTTATGTTGCCTAAATAATGAACCTATAGCCAACATGTTGCTAATAGTGTATTTAAACAATGTGCTAGCCTATACTCATCAGACACCCAAACGACCCGTCTCTGTTGTTACTGATGCTGTAACAATAAACTGCTTTGCCTAAAGACTTCGGAGATCGCAGAGATCATTTTTTGAAGACTTTGACTTAGAAACTTAGAAAAAAAATTTGCAGACCAGAATCTTTTTTTCACAACACTAGCATGTTGTTAATTATTACTTTTAACACAGTACAAATATGAATGTAGATGATGTTTCTAATATGTTTTATCATGTTACATCATGTTATTTTTCTAAATATTGAAACTATAGCTAGCATGTTGTTAACATGTACTCTTTAAAACACAGCTAATATGTTTGTCGCTAAACTTTCTAACATGTTGCATGTTATGTTGCTGAATAATTAACCTACAGCTAGCATGTTGCTAACATGTTGTTGTCTTTAAAGCACTGCTAATATCATTACTGCAAATGTTTCTAACAAGTTTGAACATGTTGCATCATGTTATTTTGCTAAATAATTAACCATGTTGCCATTAACACACTGCCAATATATACAGTTGAAGTCAGAATTATTAGCTCCCCTGTTTTTTTTTTTTTTTTACAAATTTCTGTTTAATGGAGGGAATATTGTTTCAGCATATTTCTAAGCATAATAGTTTTTAAAACTTATTTCTAATAACGGATTTATTTTATCTTTGACATGATGACAGTAAATAATATTTTACTAGTGACATTTAAAGGCTTAACTAGGTTATTAAGGTGAACTAGGCAGGTTAGGGTAATTAGGCAAGTTATTGTATAACGATGGTTTGTTCTGTAGATTATTGAAAAAAAAAAATAGCTCAATGGGGCTAATAATTTTGTTCCAAAAATGGTTTTAAAAAAAATTAATAACTGCTTTTAATCTAGCCAAAATAAAACAAATAAGATTTTCGTCAGAAGAAAAAATATTATCAGACATACTGTGAAAATTTCCTTGATCTGTTAAACATCATTTGGGAAATATTAAAAAAAAAAAAATTAATTAAAAGGGGGCTAATAATTCTGACTTCAACTGTAAATGTAACTAATGTTTCTAACATGTTGGATCTACGTTGCTAAATAATTAACCTACAGCTACCATGTTGCTAACATGTTGTCTTTAACACTGCCAATTTTGAATGATTCTATGAGGTTTTAACATACAAGCACTCATCACAAGCAAGTACATTTTGTCATGACGCATTTTTATTATCAAACTTCATACCTTCTGTGATGATGGCGAGGCCTTGATGTAGAACGGGTTGTTAGCCTGTTCCTGCTTCCTTGCCTCCCTCCTCTGTATAAAATTAGACAAACGCATTAAGACAACTGCACTTTAACATTTACTGAAGGTCTCGAAGGCAGTGTCCACTCACCCTGGCCAGCTCTTTCTCATCCACCTCAGTGTGTCTCGATCTGGAATGCTTGGGCTCCTCTTTAGCGAACACCGCTTTGGGCTTCTCGTCCTCTGATTCGCTCTCTGATGGAGGCTCATTGATCCAGGCATCCAAATCCAGACTGCAGGGGAAGAAGGGAGTTGTAGCATCTTTTCCTTTAAATGCTGGTTCAAAGCCAGTGTTGCCAAATATTTTCAATGGAAACTAGCTATGCCTCTAGCAAAGATACCCTCAAGACTGACTCACCCTTCTGGTATAGGCACTTTCTTCTGGGCCTTGGGGGCCACAGGGTTGAGCTCTCCAGCAAAGAGGGCCGTCACTTCCTCAGCCACCTCCACATTCTTCTGCTGCAGCTTCTGGATGTACTTCACCAGCTGGAGGATGCAGGATGCCTGCAGGGGAAAACATTGCGGTTAATGTTGCGCTAGCTATGGGATATGACTCATATAATGATGTCATATGCCAGTAAGCATTGCAAATAAAGATGATCAACTCTGATTAGAAAGCCATATTATTGGATTCATGACAGCATTTATGAAGAGTGTTCTGAATGATTTCAATAGAGTTTGACATTTCCATGTTGTTAAGCTAAAAGTTCAAGATCCATTCGACCAAGATCCATTCGATTGGCCTTTTCTTCTAAAGGCCAATCCACACTGCACAGACAAACGCCAACAAACAAGTTGGCTGTTGTACTAAGTAATTTATGAAAAACAACGATGAAAAATAATAATAGATCACCAACAAACAGACTCTGACTGGGAAGATCAAATGGGTGACCAAATCCCAACAGTCAAATTGTTACTTACCAAAGATCCAATAAATGCTCTTCCTTCTAGTTTGTTCCAGCACCTACTCGCATCGGTTTTGCCTCACTAGCTATGTTTCAATCCAAAGATGCAAATTTAATGTATGTTCAAAACTAGAATATCGCATAAAAGACGTGCAAATGAAGCAGTGTATCCTTCCAAAGAGTAAAAAAAAACCTCCAAAATCGTCACTTCCTGATTAACTGGCACCAAATATCAACTTTGGAATATAAAATTGGAATTTACTGCGGTAGGAGAAGCTGCGTGAGTCTTTTCTTTATTTAATAAATTACTTTTATTTATTTTCTTAAAAAAGACGAAGACAAATGTCGACATGCAATGAACCTATGGTGGTGTTTGAAGGAGTAAGACGCGGAGCGCAGACACTTTGACAATTCTGAAGGTAATTAATAATATAATAACAATAATACTGAAATTGTTCAGGCATTTTAGAATGACCAAAACAACATTTCAGATGTTTTACAATGTGCTCAGTCTGCTGGTTTATCCATTCACACACATTTTTACCATCACATGACCTCTTATCACAAAATTACATGTTTTTTTTTTAATGCACATACTGGAATTTGTTCGTTAAAAGTGTTTCAAGCTTATGCGCGTCTTTTTTATCGATTAAAACGTTTATCCTACTCAATTATGCGCAAACGGTTCTTAAGCGAGTTTTCTAAATTGATTTGCATCATGGCGTTTCTATCAACCATTATTTTTATGCATATCCAAAATGCACATAAAATAGGTGAATGGAAACATAGCTATTTTCATGGAAACAATCAGATTAATGCAGAGTCACACTCGAGTTTGAGCATGCAAAATTCTTTCGTACATCGCTAAGAAAAAGGGCAGGATTAAACACGATGATTAGACATCAAAAAAAGTGAGCGATGGGTCCATATTTTACATTTCTGTGCAGAGAGGTCATGTTGTAATCTTGGATTGGTCTCACACAATCACATGATGCGATTTGACAGGTCAGAGTTCATCAAGCTTAAACTTTGCAATGCAGCAAACAACGTGATTTGTCGCACGAGCTTACGTTTCCGGTCTGACGCATTCACATGGGTATGAATGAAAATCTAAAGGCCGAAAAGTCCAGTGTGAACACGGCTTGAGTCAGAGTCTGTTGGAAAATTCTTTCACACTGCTGAAATATTTCACGATCCAACAAACTCAGATTAAACATGCTTAGTCGGGTGAAAACTAACTCGATGGCAAATGGCAAATGGCAAAAGACGCTATTCAGGGGTTTTACACTAATCCAACAACCTGCAACAGTCTTGTTTGTCGATGTTTGTCTGTGCAGTGTGAATTGGCCTTAAAAACCATAAATGTGGTTGCAAAAGTCATCGTCTGAATACTGGGATTTACTAGTATGTCGCAAGGCATTTCTAGCATGTTACTAAAATGATTCAACTTATAGCTAGTACTTTTCTAGCATGATTAACACACTGCTAACATGTTGTTGCTGACATGTTTATTACATTGCTAACATGTTGCTATACTATCTCAAAAATCTAAAAGTCGTGATACAAACACATCTGAACAGGGACTTTGGTGTGGTAATAATTAGGGGTGTCACGATTCTCCAAATTCTCGATTCGATTACATTTTCGATTCTTAAGTCACGATTCGATTTTCAATTATGAATAATTAATTAATTAATAACAAATTAATTATTTGTAGTCTACCGTTTAAACTACCTGACCTGTACGGTCTTTGTTTTACCCATAAACAAATCATACAGTAAATGAATAAAGGCAAGTTACACACATAATTACCACCTGTCAATCACTTTTTTCTTGTGAATAGGCAGTGATCTGTGTCGTTATAATGGCGTCGGTAAAAAAGACGCACAACCAACAGGAACCAGCCAACAGTATCTGAGGTTTTCGCTAAAATCACTAAGTACTAGTGTGAAAGTAAAAGATTGAAGCAGTCTTAACTAGGTTAATTAGGTTAACCAGGCAGGCTAGGGTAATTAGGCAAGTTATTGTATAACGATGGTTTGTTCTGGAGACAGTCTGAAAAACAATTAGCTTAAAGGGCTAATAAATTTGACCTTAAAATGGTTCATAAAAAATTAAGAACTGCTTGTATTCTAGCCAAAATAAAACAAATAAGACTTTGAATTTGAAATATTATCAGACATACTATCAATATTTCCTTGCTCTGTTAAACATCATTTACTAAATATTTTAAAAAGAAAAAAACAACAAAGCTAATAATTCTGACTTCCACTGTATATATATATATTTACAGTAATTTTTTAAATGTTTTTAAGAAAACTTATTCAGTTCATCAAGGCTACATTTATTAAATGTAAAAAATGTTAAATTGTTAAATATTTATCAAAATTTTAAATAACTGCTTTGTTATTGTACGTAGTTTCAAATAAAATTATTACTCCAGACATTATTGCTTTTATTACTATTACCATTAATAAATATAATAATAATTAATATTAGTGATTTCTGAAGGATCATGTGACTAAAGTAATGAAGCTGAAATTTCATCTTTAAAATCACTGGAATAAATTAAATGATAAACTACTTTTGAACAGTTATTTTATAGTGCAACATTTCATAACTTGTATTTATGATGAAATAATTGCAGCCTTGGTGAGCAGAAGAAGCTTAGTTTAACATATTTAATCATACTGACCCCAAACTATAGAGCACTTGTGTATAGAATATTTTATAAGCAAAAATGTGCACTTTAATTTTAACAACCTACAGACATCGTCACCAAATATAAAGCAGAGGTCAGACTTTCTCATATATACAAAGCCTCGTTTCAATTTTCAGGTTTTGTAAAAATCGATTATTGAATTAATCAATCAATTAAAGAAACGTTGGCTAGAATTCTGCATGATAGGCTTAATATATAGAGAGACCTAGCAGATGAACCGAGACTGCATCAGATCAATGTAAATCTTTCTTTCGAGCTGTCAGTGCGGAAATGAACAAAACAACAGGCCTAATACAACATATTATACGATTAAAATATGGAAAAATTAACAGATAGTAATTTCGGTCAATTTTCCTGACGTACCGAGATCAGGCTGGATAAACAGCTCTCGGTAATTTACCGGTAAGAATGACATCTCGCCCTGCTCATCATTCTCTCTTCATATAGCCGTATATATGGCTATTACACGATCATAATACACTGTGATATAGCCTGGGTCATTAGTTCGTTGCATTGTTTTGTTTTCTCACTACAATCGATCCGCTCAGTAGGGCAGATACAGTCTCATTCAGGCGATCTCGGACTAATTGACTTGGCGTGGATGCGAGCGCAACTGCTGGATATATGCCAAACAAACTAACGGGGGAAACGAGACAGATTCTGAAACAAATGTCTATGTGTGAAAGCACCGTAAGATTGTATTTGCACACAATTGACAGACAGTCGCAGCACGCAGCTCTGGCTCAATCTGTCAGGCATCAAGGCAGCACTGTACACTGACCCGAGCGTCTCGCACGCTGGCCCCGGGCTATCGGGCAGTCCTTATTGTCGAGCCCTGAAGGTTTAAGCTCTGTCGATGGGTCTCCTGCGTCTGCACAGTTTAACAAGCACTTCAACAAGCGTGTTTTTTCCCGCTTGGCAAGCCAAGCTGACGTGACATGGGGGCGTGGCAGCATCGACGATTCTATTTTTTGATTCGATAATCGAAATAGAGCATAAATTTCGATCGATTTTCGATTAAAATCGAAATCGTGACACCCTTAGTAATAATAGTATAAGCAGAATAATTGACTCCAGCCCACTGAATTACTAGAAAATAGTTATAGCCACTTTGCAGCACCACCTCAGAAGTGCATTATTTTCCAATAATTCAATGGCCCGTGGTCAACACCACCTTCATGTCACTTCAGATGCCTAAAGCTCCGTCAGGTCACTAGATGTTTGAACAAAGCTTCTCCTCACCCTCTCTTGCACTTCTAGGTTGGCACTCTGGACAAACAGCGGCAGTCTGTCGATAAGCAGCTGGCTGGTCTCCTGAGCGGCCTGACTGTCCGTCTCCCCTTCATGCTTCTGCAGCACTGTTGCAAACAGCTTGGCAGCGTTTTGCACATACACCGCCTGGATGTGACCGGGCAGGGTGGCCACCTTGGGTCTCAACATGGCCTCTAGTGTCAGCATAGGGTCCTCCAGATGCCTGCGAGAAAAGGGTAAACATTAGTATGGCATTGTATGTTTGAATCGAAATCTTTTCTAGGGCACGTGCACATACTCTGCAAACTCCCCACAGATCCATGCGGCGGCGTAGAGAACCTCGCAGATCCCGTTGCGCTGTGTGTTGCCAGTCAGCAGGTGTGCGTTGTCCAGCAGAGTGGCCATCTGAGCCACAGCGAAGGCTCGGATGGCTTTGACGCGAATGGCAACATCCAGCATCTGAGAAGCGATTAGATGGCCGTGCCTGGTGCCCTCGAGACGAGTCAGTTCTACTAGGATACTGATGTACCTGGAGGACAAGAAGGCGCTTTTATGACTTGTGTGTGTAGTCAGTGCTACATACAACTGTAAAGGTAACTGATTCTATGTTTAATGGTTGATTGAGTTAGAACTATTACTTGCATTTTAAAAGTGAAGACAAAGTGGAAGGACAGTAAAAAAGGGAAAGAAACACAGTCCTCAATAATATAGCTGCGTCCGAAATGGCCTACGCCTCTGTAGGTACTGCATTTGAATTTAAACGTACTACTTCGACTGTTAGAAAAGTACTTTCCATTCAATATGTCAGTAGTACGAATGGAACTCAGACGTACGACATCTGCCATTTTGTCATGATCACGTGACCTACGAGTTGCTTCGCTTCACTCCCATTCATGAATTCTAAGCTGTTTTCTCCTTTCTGATTGGCCAACACATCTGGGTTCACACAAAGATGCAAATTTTGCACGTTCGCGGCAAATGTATCAAATATTCCGCAATGTTCGGATACAGTCATTATCGCCACCTGTTGGTTTGGTGTGCACCTAACATTTAGATTTTTCCTTAAATGCAAATCAACTGCTGCTAATAAGCCCCCTTTCTCAAACAGGGAGGAGTCTTTACAGCATGGGCTTCAGTTACTTAAATGGTGCGTTTATACCAGATGCGGCACGCATGAATAAACTGCACTATTTGCACATCAACAGATGCGTGAATATATCAAATTTACTCGCAACATTCGTGTATCACATTCACTTAATTCGCACAACAAATTTACTTCACAATAAACGCGGATTCACATCATAGGTGGGGCTTCTGTCTGCCAGCTCCTGATTGGTTAACGTGGCACGAATGTCCGCTGAAGTCCAACTCGAGCAATCCATGCGACAAACGCACAATTCGCATCACTTCATTCGTGCCGCAGGATGTCTATTCACGTCTTTGCATTGACTTAACATGTAAATCACTCTTGATGCTTTATCTGCGTCTGGTGTGAAAGCAGCATTACAATACCAAACAAAAGATCTGCATATATTATAAAGCCTTGTCAGTTTAAACTCCTGATATACAGTTTTCTGTATGCGTCACACAAAGACTGCACAGACAAAAAGCTAAATATCTGAAAGTATTGCTTTCATGAGTCCACATGGTTCAGAATATGTCTGTAATTATTAGTTGGGGAAAAAACAGCATGTGTATCAGTATATTAGACCTGTGAAATGAAACCTTTTGGGAACAGCGTAACTTAACCGAGCTTTGCCCAATTGTACAATTCCAAATTAGCACGACAACTGAGGTGTTTGAGGGAGTCCAGAAACAGTGCTTACTGACAGAGATAATGACATGCTTTGGAGCACACATTGTGCAGTACAACCTAAAAATCTACAAAAAAAGAGGCCCATTCACACAGAACACTTCTGTGTGTCTAAAAAAAACCTGCAAGATGCATCATTTGGGAAGGGTTTTTTAAGGCCATCTCTGCCATGTTATGAAGACATAACAGTTGACATGCCAACTTGCTACTGTAAAACTGTAAACTAAAACTTGCAACACTTGCCTCGCCTGAAAGTTCTTCTGATTGGTCCAATGCTTCGGAACTGACATTAATAAGGAGTGTTGCTTGTGAAAGTTCTTTTAACTTCACATGGCATCTTAAATAAAAGTGTTGCTCAAGTGCGAGGTGTCCCAAAATACCTGCGTTCTTCAAGTGTGTGCTTACTTTGAAAAACAATGGAAAAGTAGCATATTGGAATGGAAAACATGTTTGGTGTGAATGGCCCCTGAGTGTATATTTGGTTAAGTCTTACCATTCGAAGTTAGTGATATACTGGTAGTTGCTCTGGCTGCAGATGTCGATGATCTTGGTGAGCAACTCATCTCTGTAAGTGGTGCCTTCAGCTTTGTCCACATGCAGCATGAGCTTCTTCACAATCTCCATCAAGTTCTTCTTTGAGACCTGGTTGCCCACATTTTTGTAAACTCTTAATATACAAGCTCTTCACAGAACAATGTAAACAAATTAAAGTTGTACACACCATGCCGTAGAGCAGATCCAGAGCTCTCAAGCGAATGGACTCATCTTTGTCATCCAAACATTGCAGGATCAGGTCTTTGTGTGACTGCACAGACTTCGGGTGCGTCTTTAGGATCTTTGACATGGCCAGAAGACCCAAGTACTTCACTGTAAAACACCACAGTGCCTAAGTGACTTTTGAAATGAAGCAAGGCTACTTCTACATTTATTTAGACTATGAAAGTCGCAATGTGAATGGAGGTTGTGATAGATATTTTGTTCCGTATTATGACATACAAAATGTTCATCAGAAAAAAAGACAGGTGGGGACTTGATTTATGTATAATTGATGAAGGTGGATGTAAATGTGAGCTTCTAGTTGACTTAAGAAGTTTGGCTGGATTAAATGTCAGCCACACATCACCTGAGGGAGGTCTAATGGCCAATTCACATTGTACTAATCCCAATATTTAGAGGTAAAAGTCTCAGTGGAATTGTTTTGGGAGTTAGCCCTTATTAACATTTTTTAGATGAGTCTAAGGGAGTTTGGTACCATGGCTCCACTTTAGAATCACTTCCAAACAGACTTTGGCTGCAAAAGCAAGATGTTATCAGCCAATTTGGGAATAATCTGGCTTCACATTTTTATTATTAGTCATATGGGGGAAAACGTGATAATTTGTTAGCTTTTAAATAGATTTTAATTTTAGATTATTTTTAGATACTTTTAATTTAATGAGTCTAAATGGAGTTTATTACCATGACTCCACTTCACAAGACAGCATTAGCCATTTTTGCTTTATTTTTATTTTTTGACATTAGACATATGTGGGGAAACAGGTTTTTAGCTTGCTGTTACAGAGTGTCTTTTAAGAATTAAACGAGTCTGCGGAAGTTTGATACCATGGCTCCACTTCAGAATCATTACTGCACAGACTTTGGCTGCAAAAGCAAGATGTTATCAGCCATTTTTGGGACAATCTGGCTTCACTTTTTTATATTAGTCATATGGCAGAAAACATGATAATTTGTTAGCTTGTAAATTGTTTTTTAAAAATTTAACAAGTCCAATGGATTTTGAACCATGGCTCCACTTCACAATCAATACTACTATAAACCTTGGCTGCAAATTCAAGATGTCATTAGCCATTGTTGATCCTTTCTGGCTTTGCTTTTATTCATTTAATTTTTTGACATTAGACCTATGGGGGAAAACAGGTTATTAGCTCTGTGTTACAGAGTGCCTTTTAAGAATTAAATGAGTCTGCAGAAGTTTGATCCCACGGCTCCACTTCAGGATCACTACTGCACAGACTTTGGCTACAAAAAAGCAAGATGTCATCAGCCATTTTAGGGACAATCCGGCTTCACTTTTTAATATTAGTCATTTGGCGGAAAACATGATAATTTGTTAGCTTGTAAATAGTTTTTTTCTAGGAATTAAATAAGTTCGATGGATTGTGATACCATGACTCCACTTCAAATCAACATTGATGTTACTAAGTGTCTTTTAAGAATTAAATGAATCTCCGGAAGTTTGATACCACAGCTCCACTTCAAGATCACTACCACACAGACCTTGGCTGCAAATGCAAGACATCATCAGCCATTTTTGGTCCATTCTGGCTTCATTTTTTATTATTTTTTTAACATTAGCCATATTGGGGAAAACTGGTGGCTGTTACCAAGTGTCTTTTAAGAATCAAATGAGTCTGTAGAAGTTTGATTCCACGGCTCCTCTTTATGAACACTACAGAAACGACTCCAAGTGCAAGATGTCAGCCACCATCTTTGGGAAATTTTGGCTTCACTTTTCTACAGCAGAAGTAAATATGTTTAGCGCTTGCATTTATTATTTAAACAAATTCGTACAGCACTTGTTGGTCATTATATGTCTCAGGAGTGATGTGCTGTAATCTGGTGATTATCCTTGTTGGGTGCCATTTATCGGTGCTGTTTAAATTGACCTAAACGTGAAATTGAAAGATTAAAATATAGCTTTTGAATACAAGACTATTTTTTTTAAATAAAACACGCAATTAGGAATTGTTTATAACAGAGGTGTCCAAACTCTGTCCTAGAGGGCTGGTGTCCAGCATATTTTAGTTCCAACCCCAATTAAACACACCTGAACCAGCTAATCAAGCTCTTAATAGATATACTAGACACTTCCAGGCAGGTGTGTTGAAGCAAGTTTGAGCTAAACTATGCAGGAGACCTGCCCTCCAAAACCGATTTTGGACATCCCTGATTTATATTGTGCTAAATAATGCAGTTTAGACCAGGGGTTCCTAAACTTTTCAGCTCGCAACCCCTAAAACAACAATACCAGTGACTCGCGACCCCCAATATCCTCTGAGGTCATTGTAAATATACAAACGCGCACACACATATAGGCCCAAGTAGATTGGAATATAGATAATATATGGTATTCATAATAGTTTAATAAAAGGAATTCGATTTTTAGAAATAACCAACCGACCCCTCCTGATTGTCCAGCGACGACCCCCCGGGGGGGTCCCGACCCCCACTTTGAGAACCTCTGGCTTAGACAATAGAGTGAACCTCCATTCCATGTCAACTTTAGAGCACTTTACAAATGAAATCTAACCATTCTCTAATAGTCATAATTGAAAAATCTGCATATGCACATGTAGTAAAGGAAGACAAAAAAAACAAGACAATGGGAAAAGAAAACACAAAGGAAACACACACACACACACACACACACACACACACACACAAGACACACCCCCACAAGAACACTAATGGACTTCCATTTTGTTTTACTCCGCCAGATATTTTAAAGGTCAATTGTATTACTGATTGTAAGAGATTAAAAGCATAATATGAAGCCACTAATGTTTGAAGTATCCACATAATCAAATAAAACTAAATATAGATGCAGGACGACTGGAGCCACAGTTCTGCAATCTTGGGCCATTAAAACACTGGGCTTTTCCTGATGCCAATATACAAATACACTGATCTATAGAAATAAGACTTGGCAGACTCAATAAGACTCAATAAGTCTTGGCCATTCAAATGCAAGTTAATATTAAGGCGACTCTGTGGTTTCTGAAAAACAAAACATGGTAGTCCAGGATTCGTAGAGCTACTCTATAGCCAGCTTCATAGGGACACCGATAACTCGAACTCCTGACAGGTAATTCAAGATTGTTTAATGTGCATGGCTCTTTTGGAGGACACTTTTTTGAGAAGTTCCTCAAGCTATAAAAGCTACAAATGACGCTTGCCAATTCTCTGTTGTAGCACTGAGGTTGTCTTCGAGTTATCCGGGATGGAGGTCTACATGGACTCCATCTACAGGACCAGAAGGGGGACTCAGAAACATGCAGACAATGAGAGAATGACACACTGCAGGCATTGACAGAAGGCTCACAGTTCTGGTCCGAGTCTTCAATCAGGATTCGCAGTTTCTGCACACAGAGCTGTGGACGAGAGAGAGAGAAAAGGAAAACAGAAGGAGACGAAAGGAATTACTACTAATGTTTAAATCCTTTTCACAGCATCTTACAGCAATGTGTGACGTCATTAGATGGGTCAGGTGTTTTTTTAAGCCAATGATTCTGTTTGGCACTTATCTTTAAATGAAACTTGACTAAATGATGATTTCTACACCAAGAAGGACAAAATATAGACAATTTCAATGTGGTCATGTCATTGGCACAAGAACATTTCCTGCTAGTTTTCAAATTATTTCATAACTGTAACAAGAGGCAATTCAATCATAACGTAATGTTTAAAACAGCTATAATAACATTATTCATCAGTATGCGTCTCTTTTTGGATTGTCGGAAGCTATAGAAATTAAAATTGTAAAACAGGAAATACGTTGGGACCCTTGTTTTTTGTTTACATCCTTCATAATGGTCTATTTAATAACTTGTATTCATTCTAAAGCTGATGCTTTTATCATAAATCTCACTATTTGATTCAAATTGCTCAAATTAAATGTTTACATTTAATAATTCAGTATTGTAATTCAGTAAATAATATAAAAGTCATCTTGTATTAATTTTGCACATTTTAATAATAAATATTAAGTAAGTACTTTAATAAATTGAAGCATTAGCCAATGTTCAATGTTTGTAATAAAAAAAATCATAATTTGTTAATTAGCTGACCAGCTTTATGTAATAATGCTAAATATTTGTGTTTCAGATGTGTCTGATATATATATTTATTTGACAAAAAAAATTAAGAAATTTAATTTCGAGAAAAAAATTAAAGTAATTGTTTTATACAACAACTAAAATGACGCAAATCATATACAATCTACACTAGGGCTGTGCGATTAATCAAAATCGAATCACAATTATATGCATATATAATATGAAATATATATGTATTATATAATTTCCCCCACGCAAATGCGTGCCTGTCGCCAGTCTTATTAGCCGATTGTATGAGCACACTTTCAATCCGCCCAATCAGAATTGCGCAACCTAACTATGCAGAAAGCCCACAATAAAACAAACAAATAGGAAAGCGGAACAAGTAAGATGATTGCATCTGCCGCCTCAGAAGCATTAATAGACAAATTATTATCGTTAATATGTGAATATTTTGGTTTCAAAGTCACAGACACCGAACAAAAACCGGTCATTTGTAGGAGCTGTCGCAGAATTGTTGCCACAGCATGAGAAAATACAGCAATCAGCACCTAAAAAAACACCACAGGCGGCTAAATGAGGAGCGTCTTGCTAAAAAGTCAACTAAAAGTATTGCCAGTGATACTCAATCTAGTAGCTAGCAACAGCAAAGTACAATTTCAGAGTTGTTTACAGCTTTTACACCACATGATAAAACATCACGAAGGCAACTAACGTGATAAATTACTCCAGAGAAAATTAGTGTTTAATTTCTGAATATTTTTAAACTAATTTGAATAAAAGTTGGAGTAAGTTAATATCTTTTCAGTTCCTTTATTAACTAACACTCACTTTTAGCAGTAAGAAGCTAAGATACAGAATATTGAGCTGAAGCTGGACTACAAAATTAAATCGCAAATCAAATCGAAATCGCAAATATCTGTTAAAAACAAATAAATAAATAACAATTGCAATTAGATATTTTCCCCAAATCGCACAGCCCTATTCTACACATATAAAAGCAACAAAGTAACGACCTGGCTGATCATTATAACGTTTAAAGATTAAAAAAAATACTCATGACCTTTATATATCAATGCTACATTATAAATGTATATAAAAAGGGCCTCAAAAAACATTAAAATAAATCAGCCGGTTACACCAAGTAATGTGCCAAAAGCCCACCTGTATGCTTGCACTGTGATTGGGCATCCCAGAAGACAGCGAGATCAGCACTGAGTAAAACAGGAGAGAGAACAGACATCAGTGCCAATGTTCTAAAAAGTGAATACAACACCGGGTCACGGCACCAGAAATACTGACCTGCTATAACTGTGTTGACGCACTCATAGAGAAGCGACATGGCCGAGGTACTGAGAGAGTGAATAAAATGAAAGACATATATTATATTTAACCCTAATATTCCTGTCAGTGTTGGTGTTTTAGCATCACCATTACCTGTGGATGAGGTTTGTCAGGGGCTCAATCAGCTTCTTTCCCAAACGAGGCTCCAAAGGAGTGAGAGCACCAAACTGAAAGATGAACATATGATTAAAGAAATGGAAAAAAAGGTTCATTTTAGACAACTTTCATGAAAATTGAAGTTAAAATCTGAGAGAAAGTGGATATTGAGGGTCAGAATAACACATTTAAAGCCTACTGGATCATATTTGATACAATTCTAAAGACTTTAAAATTACACTAAACCTTGGTTTAAGAACCAGCTGTACACACATAGTATATTTTTATTTAAAGCCATGACAGCAACAATGAATTTTCGTAGCAAAAACACTGCAATAATAAATATGCAATAAAAACCACAAACAAATTTAGATTCTTAACCTTAATATATGATTAAAATTTAAATTTTTACTTCCTGGAGACAATTTAATGAATATCTCCTTCCATGATAAAAGCCTTCTGCAGTCAGTAAAAGCAGGACAGTCCAATAGAATGTGCTTTACCTGTTGTACTGGATTATACTTAATAAACTGTACCTGTATTACACTTTACGTAAAATGGATTTTAATATATTTTTGCAGGCTACTGTTATGCATAAACCATACAGTTAGGCTTCTTCTGATCTACACATGCTTGCAAAAAAATTTAGCTTTTTACCATTTTTGCTGATGAAATTTCTAAATAAAAATGTTGTCATTTATTTAGCATAAAACGACCCCCCAAAAAGACATTACTATTTAGACAACACAATATCAATGTTTCAACATTAGACAGGTTATGAAAGAGGTCAATATTTGGTGGAATAACTCGGATTTTCGATCACAATATATTAATTATTTGTTATTCTAACCCAGGAGTGACCAAACTTTCATATAAAGGGTCAAAACCAAAGTTGATTGAGGGCTGTGGGCCGAAGTGAAATATACCAAATCAGATTACAAAAAAATGTCCTAACTGATGTGCTAATATTTATAAATAACTAGAAATATTGCTTTAAATATATATTAATGATGCAGTATCATTTTTAGAATTTTATATTGAACTTATTACAGTAAAAACATTAACAATCCTATTTATAACACAGAGGAGTTCAATGCTAAATACACTAGTCGAGTCGGTCTGTCGAGTGACAGTATTTACATGTTAACTCTGATTCATTTACAACATTTAAATGAAACATTTCATTTTAGTTGGCTTTTTTGGTAGCTCCTCAAGTAAACAGAAAACAAAAAAAAAAGGTTATGTTAAATTCTTAATGACGATCTCTGTCAAAGGCATTCATACCAATCAACTCCCAATCATTCTCCCTCTCTTTTCAGATGGGATGACGAGATGAACCAAAAGACCCTACTTTAGGCACCTCTGTTCTAAACAACTGACATTATCTTCAAATGGTAAAAAACTGAGTTGACTTTTGGAATAAAATATTCTCAGATGTTTAGAGAATGAAATGAATCGAGTTACATTCTATTCAAACCCATAACTAATAAATCTAGAAAACAGGAATTTATTAGTGGACTTAATTGTTTTGTACACATAATTACCAGTGGTGTAGCGCAAAATGCGGAGGCCCCCCTGCAGGGATCACTGACGGGGCTCCCTGAGGATGGGGGCGGGGGGGTGTTTGGAGGGGGACAACGCGGGGAAGCGATCACAAATTGAGGAGCGGGGAAGGGAGGTGGGATGGAGTAAAAACGCGGGGAAGCCTTCACAAACTTAGGAGCGATTACAAACTAAGGAGCGGGAAAGGGGGGCGGGGTGGAGCGACGACGCGGAGAAGCCTTCACAAACTGAGGAGCGATCACAAACCAAAAGCGGCGAGAGTGCCAAAGTAGCCAGTAGTCATTCGTTTTCTATGAGAACCGGCGGAAAGAAAAAGCACGGCGCGTCTTCTCCAGTGTGGGCGTCGAGGAGAGTTGAAATCAAGTCAACTTTATGGTATGAGCTATGATATGACGCGGTTCGGCGGCAAGCAATCAGAATGAAGTAGTTCACCGCTTGAGAGGTGTTCAGAAAACACAGACCTGTGAACTTTGGTTCCGACCACAGTTGTTCCCAAGAGTTTGATTATTTAATATTGAAATATTAAAAATCGGGACGACGCAGGACCCCCTAATCATATCTGCTCAAAAGGTTTTTCCAGTAATTCATCATTTCATACGCCAAGATGTTACACTACAAATCTCACACACTTTTCGTCTCTTATGGTGTTATCATGACACTGAAATTCGATTCCAATCTGTAATTTAAAAACATTTCTTGCTAACATTTGAGTGGTTTCTTAAACAGCGCTGATTTGACATCGTGTTCACGTGCTCAACAGAAATGACTGTGATTGGCTGTGAAGGTCATCAGTTCACCGAACTCACCGCTGTTTACTAAGTGTAACAACAGATACAGGGACACTGGAGCTTTTTAAAGCTGTGAAGATCAGCTAGTCTATTTATAAGCTGACATACGAGTGCACCGCTGATAAATTAACTGACCTTCACATCTTTAAAAAAGTCCAGAGTCCCTGCATCTGTTGTATTATTAGTATTGAAATCCAGTATCAAGGCAACACTAGTCTCTTACCAGCTTAATGATCTTGATGAGAACCCAGTTGTTGGTGGAGGAGGTCATGAGTTTGAAGAACAGGGGCGCCAGCGACAAGTAGTTCTTAGGATTTCTTCTAGCCAGTTCACAGATGACGTTCACAGCCGCTGACTGGACACCTGAGACACAAACAAACATTCAGATTGAAGGCTGAAATATTCACTTTCAACAGACCGAAACTGTGGCTGTACATCTTTACCAGGATCAGGATCCTCCAGCTTCTCCTTGAGTCGGGGAAAAGCAGGACGCAGGGATTCTGGGTACTTCAGAAACACTTTGTACATGATCAGCACGGCCTTCTTGCGAATGTACGGCTTGGTGTGCGACATCTAAAATTATTCAGGTGAGAATTAAGTCATTTATTTAGAATTTAATGTCGGCAACAATTGATAAACTATTCAGAGCATAAACCAGATTTTTAAAGGCGAACATTTCACATATGATTTCATAATGTTGACAATAATTCACCATCTTTGTCTTAGAGACAGTATTTAAGACATACAGATATACATATAAAAAATATAATGAAAATCTCTCAAATTAATGGATGATTAATACAATAGTTACAATAGTTAATACAAAATACAATAATTACTCCGGGAGAAACATTTTTAATATGTGCAAACAAATAATTTCTGGCTAAAAATGTCATCTGGCATAATTTTCAAAATAGACATTATTTAAAGTTTGATTTATGATCCCTACAGAATGAACAAACTGGTTTCTCCTCCTGCAAGAGAGAAAGAATATGTGCTGAACATCAATATTTGCTTAAAGTAAACACTTTTGATTGTTCGTACCAAAGTCATGATGTCATTGGCGAGGTCACGAGCGAGGTCAGGGGTCACGAAGCAGGAGAGGCCAGTCAGAGCCACACCGGTGTCATATTGGTTTGGACTGCTGAGATCCTGGGGGGAGAGAGATGATAAAAGCCTCCTACAGCAAACAGTGTGACTCATACAAATAGGTGAATAAAGCCTAAAACACACCTTGCGGATCTGATTGGTCGTCAGCATGATGACATCAGTGCCCTCGTGAAAGCATTGGGACGCAGCAAGGTAGCCAATTCGCTGGAAAGGAGAAAAGAAAGTCATTTGTTAAGTGGAGTTGAGATTGGGATTAAGGGTGCTTTCACACCTGCTTTATTTAGTTAATTTATTTGGTTAAATAGTACTAGAGTTCGTTTTCCCTCTTGGTGCGGTTCGTTTGGGCAGGTGAGAATGCAGCAATCGTACTCCAGTGCGCACCAAAAGCGGACCAAAAAAATTTACAGAGACCTGCTTGAAGAGGTGGTCTCGGTACGCTTTCAAACAAACCCTGGAGCGGTTTGTTTTGGTCAGAATATGATCAGTACTAAAACAGGTCCAACTGCAAAAAGTACTTTGCCTTTTGGACTAATCCAGCTGCCGTAGGCCGGTGCGCTGTGCAGTATGAGATATGGAGGAAAAATATTTGTTGACAGCGCTTTACCAACAGAGAGAGAGAGAAAGAAAGAAAGAAAGAAAGAAAGAAAGAAAGAAAGAAAGAAAGAAAGAAAGAAAGAGGGGAAAACATTACCTGATGGATCGTTGGTAATATTTCCGCAAGATGACCATGTCGCATTTAAGCTAAATTAATTTACGCCTCCTCCTGAAGTGACGAGCGATGCTTTAAAACATATTTTTTCAGCCGAAGCAGGCTTCATTCTCCAAATGTAAAGTTTATCTAAAGCAGGGATACAATCAGTCATCAGCCGTTCCTCCATTGTAAAAACGACATTTTGTGTCTGCCGGTTTTGTTTACTTGAGGGAGTTCATTGGCATTTTCCCGCACGTGAATTCTGACCAATCAATAAGCAGTTTAGGAAATATGTTCAACAACATCTGGAAAATGAGAGAAGTGGATTTTGTCAGATGACTGCATTTTGGTTCGTTTCAACTGGTTTAAATCAAAGCCAGCAGTGTGGTGTGAAAACGGACCAAAGATAGCAGAAAACGCAACAATGTATCATTTATTGCTCTTAGTACGGATCAAATGCAGCGAACTAAGATGTGAAAGCACCCTAAAATTGGTACAATGTTGCTCTTTGTTCTTGGTGCGGTTCGTTTTCACACTGCAACATTTCTAAATGGACTAGAGAGCTAAAACAAGTCTTGTGTGAGTAAACTATCCTCACATTGCACAGAGTTTCACGGTTACTGAGTCCCGCTCAGCTGTCATGATTCCCTATTTTAATTTATGACGATAAGCAGTAAGACATGATAAGCCGAAAGTTGTTTTTTAATTTTGAATAGTGACGCCCAAAGACATCGTCACTAGATATAAATCAGAGGTAAGCCTCTCTCATATAGAGCCTTTGGCTAGACTGCAGTTCGGTCAATGTTCCTAACAGATAAACAGCTCTCGTTAATAGTTCAGCATGCTTTCACTTTCCTATTTACCATGAAACGCACACTTATCGGTAGGAATGACATCCTGCCCTACTCCTAATTCTCTCTTCATATAGCTATATATGCCTATTACATATCCATAACACAATGTAATATAGCCGGGCTCGAATCGTTTTGCTTTCTCACTCCAATCGACCACCTCATTCAGACAATCTCAGACTGATTGATTTGGTGCGGAGCCGAGTGCGATTGCTGGTTTCACATATGCCAAACAAACCACGCTAATTGGGCAAACGAGACAGGTTCCAAAACAAAAGTCTACGTGTGAAAGCACTCTAAGATCACATTTGCACAAATATTGGTCTATCCTTACAGTCGAACCCTGCTTATAAAAAAACAAACAAACAAAAAAACTACAACTTAAAAATTGTTTTCCATCAGCCAGAGTGGCTAGTAGGATTGTCTGCCTAACCCTGAAATCTACCTGCATTTGGCAGGTATTAATGTCAAGCCCTGATTATAACTAATTTAAAATAAAAACAAAAAGTAAAATACAAAAAAAAAAAAAAAAAAAAGTACAAATGTGTAAAAATTAAATCAATAAAAACGTAAAAAAATATATTTTTAAAAAATGACAAAAACAAAACTAAATTAAAAAAAATATGAATAAATCTTAAACTAGTATATAAATAACACCAAAACACACACATACAGACATATAAAACATTGATTCTGACGCCTCCTCTCACCTTATAAGTGAATTTGGAGGAGCTCATGACCTCCACAATGTTGAAAGCAGCCCAGCTCACATCATAGCCGAGCATCTGCAACTGTTAGAAGCAGAACACAAAGCAAATAAGTGACGGCTTGAGCTCAAAAGAAAAAAGAAATCTGAATGATGCGACTGTCAGCCTTACGTAGGTGAGCTTGCAGACGGCGTTGGCTTTAACGGCGATGTTGTCCTGTTTGAGTTCTTGTTTGATCTCATCGATGCAGGTAGAGATGTATTTGGCCTGTAGAGGGAACAGGAAGTATTGTTAGAAAGAGTGAGCCAAAAATACAGAGAGACAATGCTCTCCATAACAGCCCGACGCATTATTTAGTTCCTGTTGTCAGACGCATTTGTCAATTCACCGCCTGAGCTTAACGAGAAACGATGTGTGGCAATTAACACTTCAGCAGAGCCAGATTTTGCTACATCTCACATTGATACGCAGATTCATCAAGACAATATTTTGACGATGATGTCAGCATCTAGCATAATTAGCATATATAAAAGATATAGGTTTATATTATTTTATAGTAAATCAATATTTTTCCTTTTAAAACGAACAAAAGATATTTAGCAGAATGTCCAAGCTGCTCTGTAATGAAAGTTTATGGGAATTTTTTTACATTTATTATTCAGTATGCATTTAAATTCATATGAAATAATTAAAACCACAAAAAGAGATATTTAACAGAATGTCCAAGTATCCATAACGAAAGTTTAGAGATTTTTATTTTAGATTATTTACATTTATTATTCAATATGCATTTAAATTCATATGAAACATTTTTCCCTTACAAACACAAAAAGAGATATTTAGCAGAATGTCCAAGTTGCTCCGTAATGATTTCATAGGGATTTTTATTCACATTACTTACATTTATTATTCAATATGCATTATGGCAACTATGACAAAATGTCCAGACAGCGCCGTATTGAAAGTTTTTAGATTTTTTTATTAACATCATTTACATTTATTAATCAACGTGCATTGAAATTTATGTTTCTCTAAAAAATACAATACAATACAATACAATACATACATATATATATATAAAATAATTTAATTATAATTATAATTATTATTATATATAAAAAAAAATTTTTATTTAACAGAATGTCCAAGCTGCTCTGTAATGAAAGTTTGTAGGGATTTTTATTTACAACATTCACATTTATTATTTAATATGAATTTAGATTGAAATATTTAAATATTTTTTACATTTAAATATTTATTTAATATGCATTTAAACTGAAATATTTCCCCTTAAAAACACAAAAAGACATATTTAGCAGAATGTCCAAGCTCCTCCTAAGTAAAAGTTTATCAAAATTTTTATTTACATTATTAACATGAATTATTTAATATGCATTGAAGTTCATATGAAATATTTTCCCCTAAAAACACAGAGATATTTAGCAGAATGTCCAAGCTGCACCTTAATAAGTTTATGAACATTTTTTATTTACAACATGTATATTTATTATTCAATGTGCATTTGAATTCATATGAAATATTTTCCCCTTAAAAACACAAAAATAAATATTTAGCAGAATGTCTAATGTCTGCTCCCTAAAAAAAGTTTATGGAGATTTTTATTCTCATTACCTACATTTATTATTAAAAATATGCATTTAAATTCATATGAAATATTTTTCCTTTAAAAACACAAAAAGAAATATTTAGCAGAATGTCCAAACTGCTCCATAATGAGCGTTTATGAAGATTTTCTGTTTGCCACATTTACATGTATTATTTAATATGCATTTAAATTAATATGAAACATTTTCCCTTAAAAACACAAAAAGAGGTACTTAGCAGAATGTCCAGACAGCGCTTTAATGAAAGTTTATGGGGATTTTCAGTTACATTTATTTTTTAATATGCATTTCAATTCATAGACACTATTATTTTAATATTTCTGTTAATTTTCTGTATTTGGTAGTCATGTGTAATTTTGCAAATGAGAACATAATGGAAAATAGAAAGTTTATGAGGAAAGTTATAATAATAAAAATAACAATTTCTTAAACTAAAAAGCAAATATTGGTATATAAAATAAGAACTTTTACGGCATAAATAAAAAAGCAAACGTAAAAAAATCTATTAAAATTACAAAGTCATAACATATACACTTTAACTAAAATGCTAATCAAATCAAGTCATTCAAAATATTAATCAAACCACAAGTACACTACAATACATAAAATAAACAAACATATTTTTTTGCCGTAGACGATAAATGGCACAACCCAAACTGAACGACTTGTTTTCACATCGGATCATAAATATAACCCACAATCAAAGGTTCACTGTTGAAATCCAAAAATAAAAAGGGAAAATAAAAATACCCGTCCTCCAAACTAGGTCAGTTCATCCAGTTATGTGCGTAGAATCAATGAATGACTAACAGAGCCAACAAACCGCTATATCTCATGGCTAGTTATTGAAAGATTATGAAATGTAACTCATTAAAGGGATAGTTCACCCAAAAAACAAATATTTACTCATTAACGACAAACCTTTGAGTTTTTGTTACCTGTTCAACACAAAAAAAAATATTCAGAAGAATGCTGGAACGCCAATTGATATCCATAGTAGGAAAATAAATACTATGGAAGTCTATGAATTTCCAACATGTCTTCTTTTGTGTTCAATAGAACTCAAGAAACTCATACAGGGCTGACACAAGTAAAGAGTGAATGAGAAGTAAATGATGGTAGGATTTTAATTTTTGGGTGAACTATCCCTTTAAAAGTGTCTTCAACCAGCGCGTGGACTTACGGCACACATATTGGCCTCAGGGACACACAAAGTGCTGTTGTATGAGGCGAGTGTGTGGTCATGTGTCTTTAGTCATGAGACTAACAGGAGGAGAAACACTGAAGGGGCTACACTACAGAATCAATCCTTCCTTTTCGGACTGGAAAATGCATCGTGGAGATGTGAAGTTTATGAAGAATTCCAATCACCTCTGTATAACATTTTGAATGCTGCATTGTGGGTCATTTTTAGTACAGAGAAAATGAAAATATAAGATAAACAAAGGTTTTCCTATAATTCTGAATTAGGTATGATGAGAGTGGAAAAAAAATGGAGTAAATGAAGGATCTCCAGAAGAGTTCGAATTTTAATAAACGCTAGGGCTGCTCGATTATGGGAAAAATCATAATCACGGTTATTTTGGTCATAATTGTAATCACGATTAATCAAAACGATTATCAGTTGAAGTCCAAATTATTCGTCCTCCTGTGAATTTATTTGTATATATAAATATTTCCCAAACTATGTTTAACAGAGGTTTTTTTGTTTGTTTTTTTTTTTACAGTATTTCCTATAATATTTTTTTCTTCTGGAGAAAGGTTTATTTGTTTTATTTCAGCTATTATAAAAGCAGTTTTGAATATTTTGAAACCCATTTTAATAGCTCGATATTATTAGCCCCTATAAGCAATATATATGTTTGATTGTCTGCAGAAGAAACTACTGTTATACAATGACTTGTCCATTTACCCCAATTAAGTCTTTGAATGTCACTTTAAGCTGAATACTAGTATCTTGAAAAACATCTAGTAAAATATAATGCACTGTCATAGCAATGATTAAAAAAATCAGTTATTAGAAAGGAGTTATTAAATCAGTTGTTTAAACTGTGCTTTAAACATCTTCACTGTTTTTTTCATTTTATTATTGATTAATAATAAAAACAGTCGGCAGCAGCAGGAATACCGCACGCTCACTTTAAGAATAGTGCGGCTCTGATATGGTTTCTCTTTCTTGTGTCTTTTGATTCTCAACTTGTTAGTTTATTACACAAATGAGGGTTAATATGAATAATCACTAAACACCGCGCTCTGACACAAATGTGCATGTATTTGACCATTAAAGCGCTCAAATTAAGATCACGTTAGATGTGTGTGTGCTCTGCTGTCTGAGGCTAAGCGCGGCGCGCGCGCAAACACACACACGGTACCTGTCAGAGGCTAAGCACGGCGCGCACACACACAACAGCACGTGCTCTTTTGCGCTTTAAAAAATATGAATGATGCGCATCCCAAGCTGCAAAAGTGACATTGCACCACATGCTTTTAGTCATTTTCACATGGAACAACTGAGCTTTGCAGAGGCAAAGAGTTTTCACACGTGAACAACAGGAAAGGGGGCGGTACGCGATGGAATAATCGTTTATCTCGATTAATGGTTTTTATAATCATTAAAAGCCAAAATCGAAATCTGATTTTCAATTAATTGCACAGCCCTAATAAACGCTGCTGAATAATGCATTGTGGGTAATTTTTAAAAGAGGCTGAAAATACAAGGTACACTGCATAAATAATATTGCGTTCCACACAATCGATTGGAATTAGGGCAACATGAAGGAATCATTCATTCCTTTTGCTTCAGCTTAGATCCATTATTCATGAGGGGTCGTCACAGTGGAAAAAACCACCAACTTATCCAGCATATTTTACTCAGTGAATGCCCTTCCAGCTGCTACCCACCACTGGGAAACATCCATACACACTCATTCACACACATACACAACGGCCAATTTAGTTTACTCAATTCACCTATAGCGCATGTCTTTGAACTGTGGGGGAAACCGGAGCACCCAGAGGAAACCCACGCGAGCACGGGGAGAGCATTCAAACTCTACACAGAAACGCCCAAAAAACTGAAAGAATTGTGTTGTTTCAGCTCATTTTAAATAAGTAGATGTTGGCAAATGTCATTTTTGGAGTGCAAACAAAGGTTTCCATGATGATTTTCCTGTGGTACATCTTTACAAAACTCTTATTAATGTTGAATTATGGATAGTTCTAACTAGAGGAACTAACAATATGGAGTAAACGATGGTTTCTTTATGTTTATTGACTGAAAAAAATGATTCAAAGATGATTCATTAGATTTACATTTTTTTTAGGTAAGTGTTTGAAAACAATTTATTTGGGCTGAATTTAAACAAACAAATAAAGGTAATAAACATTAACTTAAATTAAACATCAATACATTTAATTTGTCTGTTTAAATTTGACCCATTTAAACAACAGTTTTGCAGAAATATTTTTTTCAGAGTTGGTGATTGTGCCTTGTAAAAAAATAATAACTATAAAATAAAACAATAATAATAAATTGTGTAAATGAAGAAATTCTCCACACAAATGGCCAGTTGCATTTTTACAGTCCCCTGAGATTTAGAATTATTTGTGCTTTATGCATAGAGAGACTGCATAAGAATTTAT